TAAACAGAGAATTAAACGAGACTTACCTGTAAGTTGAAGTTTGATTGCGATTCTATCTTGTCATCAGTCTGGAACGAAGGAGTCACATGAGATGCGCTTGCGCGTTGCTGATCAGTATTCAACGTGAGTGATATAGGAAAAAAGGAGAACGGAGGAGACGGGAAGAAGGGTACAATAAGGGCATGTGACTCCTTCGTTCTGGCCTTCGTCGGCGGTGCCGGCAGCATGGACTGTTGGTGTGGTATCTTCATCGAAAATGTTAGAAGTAAAACGAACAGATTGTGGAAAAAAACTGGTAAGTCACCGAAAACTGGAGCTTACCTTCCGTCCCCGGTAGTATACTATAAAAATAAAGTGATGTTGTTGAAGATTACCGTTGAAAAAAGGCAGAATTCACTCACAATATTGTAAGCACACTGATCAGCAACGCGCATGCGTACCTCATGTGACTCGGCAGTGACGTAGACTGATGACAAGGTAGAATCCCTTCGACCGCAGTTTTCTCATGGATGGCGGAGCCGGGGAGAGCGTGAAGTTACTAGTCAGTGCCCCTGCCCCCGCACTTGGAAAAATGTTCTGCCGTTCCTGCTTTTTGACCATGAATTTTCCATTTATGAATGAATGAATGAAGAGTCGTGGATCAGAGGACAACAGACGTGCCCTCTTACAATACATTTTTAACATATGAACAGTAAGCTCGGACGTCAGCATACAAAGGCGCCACTGGCAGCCGCTCTCAGTCCATTTATGAGCTTACTGTACCCACCTAGCCCATGATGTGAATGATGTGATGTGTGAAGGTTGACCACACCACCGGGGTCTACGTCCCCTACTCTTTTCGAACAGTGGTGTCTCACAAGAACCAGATAAGTGTTTGTACTGTGAGACGGGACCTACGGTTTTCCGTCCTTATCCGAGAAGACTAGAAAGTCTAACCGTTTGTAGATGCCATTACAAAGGCAGCACTTTCTTCTCATTTATTTAAAGACCCTGAGTGTTGGTCCGGCCGGGGTTCGAACCCGTGACTTCCCGCTCAGCAGACCGGCGCTCTCCCAACTGAGCCAACCAGGCGGCGGTTAAAAGGCTAAAACAAGGGCTTTTTTTTCTCTAGTATGTACAATGTATTCTTGTCCGGAATACATCAATCGAACGCGCCCTTATATCTTAAGTGATCTATAAAGGAATCTCTGTCTCTCATCTCTCAGTACAGGAGTAGCTATTCACAGCATAGAAAAGCTTCCAATATTAGAGCAAGTTTTGAAACCTGCCCTTCCCAGTTACACAATTGACTCCGTTTCTCCCCTACCCTCCCATCTCTTACATTTTACAGGCTCCTACCCCGAGTTTTGCGAGGTTCTGCGATACACGTATTTCTAGTTGTAGTTCAATCTTGGGAACATTCCGAAATCGATATTTTTACATTCTAGGCCTTGTTTTCTATATAGAACATTACCAAACCTCTGACTCTTTCTAGACCTATTCTGCTAAAAAAAAAGAATTTAAAATTTCTAATTTTTGACCAAAATCATGGTTTGAACCCTTTGGAAAATTCCAGTTTTGCGACCATTCAAAAATTGATATTTTAATAGCCTAGGGAAGCTTTTTTCTAAGTAACCAAATACTTCAAAGACCATTCAATTCAATCATTCATGATCATTCGACCATTCAAAAATCGATATTTTTTAGTCTAGAAAGGCTTGTTTTGCTATATAGAACAGTACTTAACCCAAAAAGAAGCAATTTTTTAAAAATAATTTTCCAATTTTTGTATAAAACCATTGGTTAACCACTTTTGGAAAATTCCAATTTCAGTTTGTGACCTTTGACAAATCTATATTTCTATAGTCTTGAAATGCATGTTTTCTATATAGATCATTACCGAAGACTTTGTAGACCTACGTTGCCAGAAAGAAACAATTTCAGTAGTTAATAATTTCCAATTTTTGACCAAAATCATGGAAAATTCCAATTTTGCGACCATTCATAAATCGATATTTTTATATGCAAAAAAGCCTTGTTTTCTACATAGAACATTACCAAACAATTTCTCTAGACCCATTCTGCCCAGAAAGAAACAATTAAAAAATTTTCCGACTAAAATCATGGGTTTCAACCCCATCGGAAATTCCAGTTTTGCGATCATTCAAAAATAAATGTTGTCATAGTCTAGAAAGGCTTGTTTTTTACCAAGCACTTTTCTAAGCCTATGTTACCCCAAAAAGAAAGCATTTAAAAATTTCTAATTTTTGCCTGAAAACATTGTGTTAACCTCTTTGAAAATTCTAATTTTGCGACCATTCATAGATCAATATTTTTACTAAACAATTTCTCTTGACCTATTTTGCACAAAAAAAAGAAAACTAGAAATTTACACATTTCCTTTTTTTGTCCTTCGTGACCTTTAGAAAATCTATATTTTGACAGTCTAGAAATGCTTGTTTTCTATATCGAACGTTATCAAACACTCATTGTAGACCTATTTTGCCCAAAAAGTAACATGTTAAAATTTTCCATTTTTTGACCAAAATCATGGGTTAACCCCTTTGAAAAATTCCATTCTTGCGACCATTCAAAAATCGTTATTTTTATAGTCCGGAAAGGCTTGTTTTCTATATTGAAACGTACCAACACAGCTCAACACTTTTTGTAGACTTAATTTGTCGAAATAGAAACATTTTAAAAATTATAGGGTAGAAAGGCTTGTTTTCTGTGTAGAGCATTACCAAACACTTTTCCTAGACCTATTTTGCCCCAAAAGAAGCAATTTAAAAATTTCCAATTTTTGACCGAAATCATGGCTTGAGCTCTTCGGAAAATTCTTATTTTCGACCATAACTTTTTAATTTACAGACCATTCAAAAATCGATATTTTCATAGTCTAGAAAAACTTGTTTTCTTTATATAACATTACCAAACACTCTTTGTATATCTTTTTGCCCAAAAAGATGAAACAATTTAAAAATTTGACTAACACTAATACTAATTTTTTGCCCATTCAGTGCTTCTCAATTTCATATCTTCAATTAGTTAAAACTACACTCTAAATCAGAAAGATCTGTTTTAGCCCTAAAAATAGAGCCGTTTCGGTGAGTAAAATACAGTCCTATTTTTGAGTCTAATTTGGCGCCCTTAAATCAGGGCCAATATAGTCCAATTAGCTAGGGCTGATTTGGTCCCAGGGCTGAAATGGGCCCTACCGTGGCTGGAATAGCCTTTTGATTGCGCTTTTTTGGCCTAAATTGTGCTCAAATGGCTCCAGGATCAGGGCTGAACCAGACTTTGGCCTGTAGGGCTGAATTAACACTTTGGGGCTGAAACAGATCTTCTTAATTTTCAGTGTATAAATTGAATTCGCTTCTAACTCCTCCTTTTTCTCAAATCCAGAGTTTCATTTTCAGTCGCCTTGAGTAGCGGCATAAAGTTCCTTGCCATGTGTTTCCTTCTCCACGAAAGTTTAGGAGTAGAGACTTGACATGACGAGCCAAAGGAATGTTTCAACTTCTAGGGCCCGTTTGTCGGAAATCAAAATCTAAAGAATAAAAAGTACAGTTTAATTAACGGATAATTTTATAACATCTGCAAACGTTTGAAACCGCGATATTGAAGGTAAACAACAACTGCTTTGCGGGACCATTTGTTTTTGGGACTTTCGAGAAACGGCCCCAAGGGTACCGTCAACATCTCACCAGTCACTTAATGACCCCCATTGTTATTGTACACAGAATTTCAGCTGGAATTTCAAGACTCCCCATTTCTTTATACCGCATGCCCCCAACCTCAACATTTATGCACTTGTTAGAGGCTTACATGTAGCCTAAGGGTTATCCATATGGTCTTTTCCTCCCTTTTGAAACCTAATCAAAGTGGATCCATGGGAGGGGAGGGAGAAGATACCAAACTACAAGCTTTGCATATCCTCTATCCATACCATGTTCTTCTCTAAAAAACACTGTACGGTGACGCTCCAACCAGTTGCAAAAATATTGACAAAGTGTACCTTAGTTGGGCTTAAATGGCCTGTCCATGATCTTCTCCCCTTGTCAAAGTTGCCAGCAATACAAGGACATGCTCAAAACTTGCAGGAACAACTTGGAATGGAGGGGAGGGCGGATGTGATTATTATATCCCAAAGATGTATGACTAGCAGTGCTTTGAAGTAAAAATGGCAGGTTTCAACATTTTTGCATCTGGTTGCAGTATTGAATCAGACCATCAATATTTCACCACAAACAGCTTTAGGTGAATCCAAACTGCATTATAGTGACCCAACCCCAACCCACACCACCTCGTGATGCAGCAACTTCAATATCTTTACTCAATGAAACTCGTGTATCAGAAAGCCAAGGTAATTATGATGTTTGACTGAAAGCCTTCAAAAACAAACAAACAAACAATAACACAAAAACAAAAATGACATGCAAGAATGCCTTTATTACTGAGGTTGCATTTTTTTCCCATCTTTACTATTACATTACACAATCACATGACACTCATATTGAATATAGTCCTGATTATCACAGCACTGAAACAAGAAAAACAGATTCCTAAGACATGATAGCCTGAGAAAAACAGCCAACATTTCACGAAAAATTTTCAACATTTTCCGAAAAATTGGAGTACATAAACTAGCAAATTGTCTTTCTTAACTGATACATCAATAAGAGGTGATGTATAATTTGCCTTATTGTAACAGGGAATATCATTGCATGTCATGACTGAATGTGTGGTTACCAATGGTTGCATGGCAACGACTGTTCACAAAGGGGGAAAAAAGTGATGCCACAACTACTTTCCCTGGGAAATGATGTCTGACAAACGAGCGCAGAAATTCCATACTGATGACGTGCTACCACACACATCTGGATAGTGCTTCTGATTGACTGAAGCAAATTTCCCATGGGGCATAGTGACGCGTCATCAGTATGGAATTTTTGTGCTTGTTTCTCAGATGTCATTTTGGGGGAAAACCAGTTGTGGCATCGCAAAATGACGGTTTTTTTCTCAGGCTTAACACTTGATCACATAAACAAATAGGAAAACAAAGTAAACCTGATACGACTGTCTGTGCACAAGCAAAGTTATGGCAGTGATGGAACATGAAGAAATGAAAGGAGCTGATTTTGACTTTGAGGAGCATAAGTAGATTTCTTAACACTGGCTGGTTATCGAGTCTCACTGTTGGAACTATTTCCTTTCTTTTTTTGCAACTTATGATTCCACCACTGATAAAACTTTGCCCTTGCACAGTTGACAGAGGCTACACCAGGGTGACTGCCGCCGTAAAGATCATTAAGGAGGTTCAAACAATGTTGATCAAGCTACAGTGTATGATCACGTTTGCTCTCTCTCAGTAATTTCTTCACATGTGGTTTGATGTTCATGTGTGGAAATACTTGTAAGCGGCAACAGAGATTAACACAGCAACTGCTGCTGCTGGTAGAGTGAGGGAATTCATCCTGGTAAAGCAATGACAAGAAAAATATATATATAAGTTTACTGAAAAAAACAAGATGAAGGTCAGAGTTCAAGTCAAGAAGACTACTGGGATCACTTTAGATTTCTGGGAAACTGCCCACCTACCCCTCCCCTATGCCAACATTATCACTTACTTCTCACTTAGGGCAAAATGTTGGCTTAGGGGAGGGGTAGGTGGTCAGTTTCCCAGAAACCTAAATAATTGATCCAATTATTGAATAACATCACTTTTTTGTTTTATTTTTTGTTGTTGTTGAAGTAGTTGTGTGAGTGAACAGTTCTCACAAAATATAGTTAGTGTATCACTGAGAAGCCTAGTTTTAACAGCTCTCCTCTTTGCTTAAATTATTTCATGCTTCATACTCGATTATCAAATGAGCCTGCAAACGACCACCAGAGTAAAAAGACTGGACATGAGAAAGTGGTGGAGAGCTTAGTTCATGCTGAGACAACTAGCATTGTTTACAGTGTGACCAGGAAAACCGTGAACGCTTGAAATATCTCAGGAATGTTTATTATGTTATGACAAATCACAGAAAAGATCAGGACATGCGAACTAGCCACAAAACCACAAACTAATTAACAATCTTGCTTGCAGTTTAGTTTTCTCATTGACATGCCTGATTGGCTTTTTTCTAGCAACATAATCACATTCCAGAAATTTTTCTGGTGTTCTCGGTTTTCCTGGTTTGACTGTAATAACATAAAAAAAAGAGAAAAACATTTAACTTTGCTCAAGTAGGGGAATGATGAGAGTGTTTTCATGTGTATGCAGTATGGTAATATTCTCCTTCTAAAATAAAATAAGATTTCAAAAGCTGTTTTTACATGATCTTAAGACAAACACCTTAGCAAACTATGAGGTAAAAACTAATTTTTGTAAGATACAATTGATGCCTTTTGAGCATGTGCTAACTTGTCAGTAGACCTGCACCATTCTAAACCTCTTATTTCACTGGTCCCCTTTAATCTGCACCTCCATTGTTTTCAGGGATAAGGGCATTGTTGTGTGACAATCCCTATTGTTTTCCCAGCCAATCAAAAACAATCCTTCAAATAGGTGCACCCTAACTTGTATCAGTGTACACATTGGTAAGATGTGATAATGATAAATGCTGACTTTGCAGGTGTAAATGTTTACACGTTGCTGTTGAGCTGATGGCTAAGCCTAAATACGTGATTAATTTTCATTTAGTTTAAAATTAAATTCATTAAAACTTATATTACCCTTACCCATCATAATGAACACCCTGTCAACACAACCACAATTTATGGTGATCCTGTGGTGGTTATGTTAACAGGGTACCCAGCTATGTGAAGTCATCACTTCAGACACACATTCTAATCATCATTGAACATTGCTAGATGTCCAATCAATAAAAAAAAAAAAAGAAATTAGTGGGTTTTCAAAAACCTTTTCTTTAACTCAATGTTCAATTTGGCCTTGTATAATTAATAATTTTGTTTTAGTCTTATGGGTCAAGTGGTTTTGTTTTGCAAAGTTATGCAGTTAAGAGTTTCTTTTGCATTTTGTTGGAATTCACTTTAAGTTTTACAATAAAAAATACTGCTCACCAGTTAGATTTGTTTTCTTCAAGGGGTATAGTTTTCTTTTCCTTGCCCTAATTGGATTCACAATGATAAAAATAATTAACAAATGATTTTCTTTTTCATGTCCTGGTTAAATTTCAAAATAATATCTAGAATGAATTATCACTATTATAACAATAAACTTTCAAACAAGTCTTTCGTCCCATTTAAAATGGTGCAAGACAAAAGACTTTTTATCCTTGACTGGCGCCAGTTTTAGCCACCCAAAAATGGGTTGCTGTGCTTAGACCACTCAAAGCAGCTCTTTAGGACCCTTGAGGATAAAGTTGTCACCCACAAGTAATAAAGCACCTTAATACATAACTTGTTCATTGCGAAAGTGATAAAAGATGCTCTTGAAGCCAAGGGATATTCAGAGGAAAACACTTGAAGCATAATATCTGTCAGGGAGAGATTCGGTTTTGTGTCTGCTCCAAGCAGAGCTAGGAAAAGTCTGACTTTTGAGCTGACTTCATACACTTTCGATCATTTATTTGCTGAGGATTGCAATCTTATGAAAGATCAGGTCTTAAACCTCAATTCCCATGGCAAAGCATCATACATAGGAGATGATTGCTCAGAAGAAATGCTAGAGGATATTTTAGATCTGAAAGAGAAACTAGTGTACTCTCTTCCTCATGGAAATCCCTGAAACCCAATTGTGTTGTCATATTGCTGCATAACAGTGCCGCAATCAAGCTGTCCGTCAAAAGGAGATCATCTCGCACTTTTGCTGCTGTGATTTTTTTTGGCTCGCCGGTACAAAATGTACCACAATCTAAAGTGTGTGCTTGCCATTTCATTGAGTTAACCACTCCTTTCTCCTCTGCAATGGCCTTCCTCACTGATTTGAGGCTTTCCCTCACTTCTTCCTAACAAGGGTTTCATTCTTGTTGGCACAGTTTAGGTTACAGCACAAAATAATATTTGTTAAAAAGCCATCACTGGAGATCTCTTTCCAAGAATACCAACTCGAGATTAAAACAAGCTTTGGTTTTTTCCACCCGCCTGAGGTCGTTCACTTATACCTGAAATCTTTGTTTGTGACAACTTCAGCAGAAAGTAAATAAAAATTAATTTGCTCTTTGTAGGTTGAATTCGATGACTGGCAAATGTAACCTAAAACCCCAAATGCGACTCACTCCACTCCCCATTTTTGAAGCAAAACACATCTGGCAACCCTTCAAGCGAGGCAAGTCAACCTCTCAAAACTTCGTGACTCGCCTGGCTGCTTTTTCGCTTCACTCACTCAGAAACTCGTAAGGTCAACTTTTAGGAAGTCTATTATAACAAGTGCACATTATATATCATATCACCAATTCAACTAGAAAATAAGAATGTGTAAGAACAAATCTTTCAACAGGGCTTTCACTATGATTTTAAATTGTTATTGGTAGACAGCAAATTGAACAGCCAGTAAATCCATTTGGTTCTACTTTCCTTTTGATATCCAAAACCAGGGAAATTCCCTGGCCATGTGCCACTGGGGTGGATCCCGGCTTTTATCAGAGGGGGTTTGATGTGAGGAGGCCGCCAAAGGCAGTCCCCGTGTAGGGGGTCCGGGGACATTCTCCCCCGGAAATTTTTGAAATTTTATGTCCTCTGAAACATGATTTCTGCCATTCTGAGGCTTAACTAGGTTATGAATTTATTGCATTTAAGATTGACTGTATTTATTTTACATTTGTACAAGTTTTTGATGCTAGCTGTTTTTACTTAGGGGGTTCGATTGCACCCCCGAACCCCCCCTAGATCCGCCCCTGTGCCCAGTACCAGTCCTGTTTCAAGTGAACGATTTTGCAATATTGCCATAAGCCACATTTTGTCTCAAGCTGTAAGTTTTATTTTAACCCTTTCACTTCTATTACTGGCTAAAGAAAAAATTCACAAAAATTGCATGCTATGCAAAATCAGTGGCAGATCCAGGAGAGGGGCCTGAGGGGGCCTGGGCCTCCCTTCTTATGTTTAGACGAAACTGAGGCCCGAAGGGACAAAAAAAATTTTTTTGGAGACTGCCCCCCCCCTTTTCTAAGGATCTGGATGACCGCCCCCCCCCCCCCTTATCTCAAGGTCTGGATCGGGCACTGAAAAGTTCTGCCAAACTGGCCCCAGTTGTTCGAACGTTGGATAGCACTATCCACCGGATAAAAATATATCCACTGGATAACGCAATTGGTTTCCCTAGTACTTATTCGCTGGATAGTGATTTATCCGCTGGATAGTGCTATCCAACTTTTGAACAACTGAGGCCTGGTTTCATTTGAATGGTAACACCATAATTATAGGATTTTGTTGACAGATTCAAAAGTTTTTTTTTTAGTTTTTCTTGCTATTGTGTTGCAAGAAAGCTCTAATAAAATAATAATGTCTTGCTGTACATGGTCTATGAGAGACAGTTTTAAAAGAAAAATATTAATAATAATAATAATAAAAACCTTCAGTATATAACTTCATCTAATCATTGTCAAATGAGAAGAAAAATAACATAGGTTGCTGATTATATATACAGACAATGAACTGTGAAAAAATACAAGATTGTAAATTAAATTCAATGGCATTGAAAGAAATTGACAAATAAATATTATTTTTCTTACAAAATTTTAAGAGCACCTACACATACTTACATGAGGCAGAATTCAGTTATTTCAGGCGAGTGAGATTTTAACACAGAAATTTCCACTTATGCTCTCTACTGTTTTCATAAAATTTACATAAAAATGCACACCTTTACTTGAATCTTGTCCTCCTAAAATGTAAAAATTAAATTAAAAAACAACAATAATAACCACACAAATTGACCATAGTTTTTTTCTAGTTTTGTCAATGGTGCTTTAATACTCAATGGTACTTGGGCAATAAAAATAAAGTACATTCAGGGTGGGGGCCAAACCAGCCATAAAAGGTGTCATAGAGAAGGAAAGTGTGACATCACCAAAATTCAGATTAATTTTATAAAATTATGGGATTTGTTACAGGGCTGTCAAAAAGTTTTTACGTAGCTGGCTGATAATGAATAGTAGGCGGATCTGGAACTCGCACCAAAGGCACAAGTTCTTGAGGGCCATGTATCTAGGGACATTTTGAAAATTAGAGTCTCGGAAATGGCATTTCCAGGGGTTTTCAAGAAGTGTTTCTGACCACAGATCCCACGTTGTTTCGTCAGAATACATACAAGACTGAGAACAATGCCATCAAAATGTCCCCGGCGTTCCAAGACATCACACAGTTCGAACGTTTCACAGGTCTAAGCCTGTTAGAAGATTATTATTTGATGGTGCTTAATTATTTTTTGTTAGCAGTAATGGTAGAGGGAGCTGAAAGTAGCCGGCTAAGGATGGCTAAATAGCCAGGAGTTTTGACTGGCTACCGGCCCTTATTGACAGCCCTGTTTGTTAGCATATTCAGAAAGAACAAGATGAGAAAAGTCCCTTTGCCAAAATTCAGCCTGTTAGTGCAAATTGTGGGTAAATACAAAAACCGGTTTGCTCTGATGACTCAACACAAATCCTTCCAAAATTGGGTTAGATTGTAATGTAGCCTGCGTAGCAAGCGTTTCCAATCGAGTTACTGTGCGAAAGTTAGAGCGGAAGCAAAAAAAAGGTTGAAGGGGGAGGGGGACGGGAGAAGAGGAAACGCTTGCCCGCAAACCCCACGATTCTGGAAAAAGCCCCTTGATATTTCACGGTTCGGTTCATTTGTAAATTGACAGCTCGTCAAAACAGAAACATAACGAACAGATTACCCCTGGATCATCAGATTTGTAAAATTACTTTGTTCTCTAATAGAACACGTTGCAGGCGATTGCAAGAACTGTAATAAAAAAGATTTACGATAAAAGAAAGTTAAAACTATGAGTGATTGCTGCAAAATTTCTTGTTTTTTATTGTGTGGCTTTATCTCGTCTGAAACCTTGTCGACATGTCAAAAACTATTTGTCCGGAACAATTCACTCCGCCGGGAATAAGTTTTGCAGAGCGGCTGCTCTTCAGCCTGTGTCGAAACGTTCTCTACAATAGATGCTGCTAAATTTCCAATAAACAAAAAGAATCTTTTCACTTCAAAAAGCTGACAAATCGCTTGTCCATGGTGGCGGCTTTAGCTAGTGTCGAGTACCGATGGTCTGATTTATGTTGATGTTACCTCCAACAAACAGTCACTCCATTTTTTCCAGTCAGATCCGCACGCCGTCATTCTCAATAAATTGGCCTTCCCTAGTCTCCACTGCTCGATCTCCAATTATACTTTGAAGACTCTGATCTCATAAACCTTCGCACAAACACGATTCAAATAAATATCAGTCCAAAGCAATTGTAATCTGCGACCACAAATCAGATGAGACCAGATCTGTGACGCACGAAAACAAAGCATACCTGGTTTGATTGATGTTTCGAATGCTAAGTAATCAACACTACACGCACCGCGCCAATCAGAAGCTGCGTTCGTGGGCGAACGCAGTTTTTCAAAATCATGGGGTTTGCGGGCAAGCGGTTCCTTCGTTCCCCTCCCCCTCCCCCGTCATTCATTTTTTTTTTTGCTCTTCTCCCAGCTTTCTAGACGAACCTCGCGAGGAAACACTTGCCACACAGGCTAATTGTAATGTTAATCATGTGGGTCTATATTAGAAGGATTTATAAGGAGTCATCAGAGCATAATGTTGCTTACATGTATATCTCCTCTGTAGTCACCAATTTGCAACAACAGGCTGATTTTTGGCAAGTGAACATTTTTCACCTTGTTCTTTTATTGTGATGTCATCTAGCCTGCTAGCAGGCTCTCGGAGTGCTCATGAAGGCTAAATTTATGTACATGCAGGGTTTGAGCCAGGTTGCGCCATTGCGCCAATCCCACACTGCAATTGGAATTGTCCCTTTAAAAAACGGCCAAGGGGACAATTTGTCCCCTTCAAAATTTAGGGAAAAAACTCAAAAGGAAGCACATACAAAGAGATTTATTTCGGTACAGAAGTTGCAAGCTGAAACAGAACGTGGAAAGTATATTTTTATCGCACCTTTAAAGTTCATTCCAAAGTTACGTTTCAGTCACGCTCTACTGCTGTTTTTGTTGGAAATCTAAGACAGGGCTTCAGTTTTCTGATTTTTCGCGCGGTCGAGGAGCCGCGAAATTCACAAAAACACGAAAAATACCGCGAAATTTGGTAGAAATCTTATCAAATACATGTCTGTACAACATATTTGAAACTTATTTCAGCTTTTGGGGCTATTTACTTGCCGTAAACTTGCAACTTCGTCACTGAAACGTGCAAACAGATTAGGTTGCGAAAAACTGGGCACTAGCCATCATGTTAAAGGCTTTGCAATTGCTTCATTTCTGGAGCGTATTGTTGTTGAAAGAGCAAATGATGACCTCTGTTAGAAAAACGTTAAAAAGGCTGGTCTGATCAGCGCAAAACCGATCGATTTCTAGCGAAATTTGCCTTGAAAATAACCACAAAATCGGCCGTTTTTTACCGATTGCTTTTCGGTGAAGTTCGCCCCGAAAACTCCCGCGAAATCGGCCGATTTTTCCGGGAATTTGTCCCTAAAAATCCTGCGAAATTTGACTTTTTCGTCCGATACCTATCAGAAGCCCTGCTAAGAAGGAAGGGTGTACAAATTTCTGTCCCCCTAAAAATGAAAATGTCCCCCAAAATTTTAGCCAAGGGGACAAATTGTCCCCCAGTGATCAAATCCTACAGATACATGTACAGGGCTCAAACCCTGTACATGTGTCTTTTAAATTTCTTTTCAGTTCTTGACCAAACTTGCTAGATAGACTATGATTGTAGACCAATACCCAGCATTTTCTTTAAGAACTCTAGTAGTAGGAGAAAAGTGTAACATTACAGGAGAATATTCTAAAAGAGGCTCCTGATCTAAATAAAAAATAGTCACAAAATAGCATTTTTCATTGTAAATGGCAAATTCTCTGATCTCCGATGCCTAATGAACACCCTGAATACCAGGAGAAAATGAATTAAAATCCCCAATACTTGCTGAAGTTCCCACAGGTGCTCTTTAACAATTATTCCTCGAACCTGAATGGGCTCTGAGTCAATAGCCCATGAGGCCTTCGGCCTCATGGGCTATTGACTCAGAGGCCATGAGGGCGAGAGGAATAATAATTGTTTCAGTAAAATCCAACTATTTGGTCAAAAACATTGAGGCAAAACAACTTTAGCTTGTAAAACGCGATTCAGCCGCCATTGTTTTGGTTTTCAAAGTCGGCACCTTTCACTACTAGTGGGCTATAACATATAGCCTAGTAGAAGCTCATCCAATCAGAATGCAGCATTGATAATAAACCACTAGTTGGATTTTACTAAATTAAAAGACCTACTTAATACAACTGAAAACAGTCATCTTATAAAATGGAATATTTACATCAACAAGCTCTCCTATAAGATATGTTAACAACAGTTCTCTTGCATCAGAAGAATGGCCAACATCTTCAAAGCTTTCAGTAGCATCTCCACCTGTCCAGAAGAATAATATAAACAAATAAATTTCCAATTTTGTGAACTAACCTTAATCAGAATTTCAGCTATTTCATCTTCAAAATATAATGCCATTTTGTTTACTTCACTTGGGAACAAACAGCTAAGCTGCCACACCTAGAAACTAGGTTGATCAATGGGTTGTTAGGCAATATACCATCAAATAGATGGTATATTGCCTGAATCTTACATTAATCCATTTAAGGTAAGACAGTTGGTTATCATGACAAGCTTAGGCTGGTTCACGAATTTGGGTCCCCGCTGCTTAGGTAAAAATTTTTACCTAAATCACAGTGGGAGCTGAAAGAGGAACCACACTAAAAGGAAGACAAGCCTTACGAAGGTGTTATAAGCCGGATTAATCCCAACATGTTTTAGAGGCAAATTTTCCTCATTATGATATACAAGTTTTCTCGAACGCCTGATACGTAAATAAATACAATAAAACAATGGGACAGGGCTACTCTTTCTTTGCTGTTATATTTTTCGAGGCTAGCAGTTTTGCATATTAAAAAAATTTGTTAGAGAGAAGTAAATACTTCAAATGTTTGTTCGTTAGACACAGGAAAATAAATGCGCTAGTGTTGTTGTTGGACACAGGCAAATTAATGCCCCAGTGTATTTGTTAGACACAGGCAAATTAATGTCCCAGTGTATTTTGTAAGACACAGGCAAATTAATACCCCAGTGTATTTTGTTAAACACAGGCAAATTAATGCCCCAGTGTATTCTGTTAATCACAGGCAAATTAATGCCCCAGTGTATTTGTTAAACACAGGCAAATTAATACCCCAGTGTATTTTGTTAGACACAGGCAAATTAATGACCCAGTGTTGTTGTTAGACACAGGCAAATTAATGTCCCAGTGTATTTTGTAAGACACAGGCAAATTAACGCCCCAGTGTATTTTGTTAAACACAGGCAAATTAATGGCCCACTGTATTCTGTTAATCACAGGCAAATTAATGCCCCAGTGTATTTGTTAAACACAGGCAAATTAATGCCCCAGTGTATTTTGTTAGACACAGGCAAATTAATGTCCCAGTGTTGTTGTTAGACACAGGCAAATTAATGCCCCAGTGTATTTGTAAGACACAAGCAAATTAATGTCCCAGTGTATTTTGTTAGACACAGGCAAATTAATGCCCCAGTGTATTTGTTAAGACACAGGCAAATTAACGCCCCAGTGTAATTTGCTAAACACAGGCAAATTAATGCCCCAGTGTATTCTGTTAATCACAGGCAAATTAATGCCCCAGTGTATTTGTAAGACACAGGCAAATTAATGCCCCAGTGTATTTTGTTAGACACAGGCAAATAAATGCCCCAGTGCTGTTGTTAGACACAGGCAAATTAATGCCCTAGTGTATTTAAGACACAAGCAAATTAATGCCCCAGTGTATTTTGTTAGACACAGGCAAATTAATGCCCCAGTGTATTTGTTATGACACAGGCAAATTAATGCCCCAGTGTATTTTGTTAAACACAGGCAAATTAATGCCCCAGTGTATTTTGTTAAACACAGGCAAATTAATGCCCAAGTGTATTTATTAAACACAGGTAAATTAATGTCCCAGTGTATTTATAAGACACAGGCAAATTAATGCCCCAGTGTATTTGAAAGACACAGGCAAATTAATGCCCCAGTGTATTTGTTAAACATAGGCAAATTACAGTATTTGTTAGACACAGGCAAATTAACACCCGTGTATTTGCTGTATTTGTTAAACACAGGTAAATTAATGCCCCAGTGTATTTGTTAGACCCAGGCAAATAAGGATCAATTCTTCGCTTGAAATATCACTTAGCATGCCTATATATTTAATGCTCAAGTCTACAGACATTTCCTGAGGAAAGATTCAGATTTTTTATAGGGCGGCTTATATTTACATGTATTGGGTTTATAACACAAAAAAGCTTAACATTTTTACGACTAAAATGATTGTCCTGTTCGAAGCCCCTCGGCCTTATTGATAGTAACGCCATAATTTTTAACAGTTTCATTAGCGACTGAGCTGGTCCCCATAACCACTTCTGAGCTCAGCGAACATTAAGATCAAGCTCGATTAGCATTTTTATAGCGCCACGTCTTCGACAAAACAGTCCGCTAGCATTTATAGCTAAAACGTTTTCTTTATGAAAAGATTTGCAGTAATTACTCACCTTGCAGCTGTGATAGTAATTATTTACCTGTTTCAGTGAAGATCACAAGATAGCCAGCATAATTAAACAAGAAAAAATTTGTCTTCACTGCCATTGCATTTGAGCGCGCAGTAGAGCGAGATTACTTCATTTTTCCCGCTAATATTTCAGAGTATGGTATTGCTGTCATAAATTAACCCCAGTAAGTAATGCAGCATCTTGCTTGTGTTCTTTGTTCTGTTGCTTTTTATAAAGTCACCGTCAACAGATGCAAATGTTCTCTGATTCTGTTTTAACTGTTCCAAACGAAGAAATACTTTTAGAGAGAATTTTTTTAAAATTGGAAATAGCAGATGCAACTTCAAATTGCTTGTGACCGGATATGTAATCAACTATCTTACCGCAGATTGCCATATGCCTAACCGCAAAGAAGGCAAATGGTTGTGGGATTTTAAAGCCTTAGGCAAATGCCTGCTCTGAATTCCTGAACCGGCCTAAGCCTCTCATGAGTATCACCCAGAGGATTGAAACCAATCAGAAACGGCAAATATTTTGAATGAATAATAATAGTTATTACATTTCACATTAATAAACAAAGACCAACAATGTCTGGGGGAGGAGAATCTGTTTTTGCCATTGGGGAGGGGAAAAGGTGTCTGCCGTCAAGTGGATATATTTCGGAATAATGATGCATAAACTGGGAGAAAATGACAGCAGTGAATGTTCATGTACGTCCTTATTACATAAAATTTTGGTGACACTGTTGTTAATTCGGTGATTCTGAAAAATCCTTATTTAGTTGCACTTTAATTTAGCGATTTCACAAACTGATTTAAGGTATTTAAAACTTTTACGACCACAATGGAACATTTATGTGATAAAATCATAAGCGTCAATAGCTTCATTTAACCCTATAACTCGCAATCAGGAGAATTTGTCTGAACGGAAAGGGTCTGCAGTAAAATTGGCCAGTGTGCACTTGCAAGAGTCTTGGGTGACCTGTGGAGATTCGCTTTAGAAAGAGAACAACATGGATAACAATTTGCTGTCTGTATGATCAATTTTGGTCAATATTTTGATATTTTATCAACCTCAGCAGCAAATGAACTCAAAAAATGGCCTTGGAAGAGGAAGATCTTTCAGCTTCGGTCATAGTTTTGGGGATTTTTCTTGGGGATGGTCATGTTTTTTTAGCATCAAACTAGCCTGCGTAGCAGGCATTGAAATGGGTAAGGGATAGGGAGGAACGGAAAAAGGGAGGGGGATTGGGGAGAGAGAGTAAGGGACGCCTCCTATAAGAATCGAACCCCCTTTGTTCATTGCTGCGGACGCTGGCGTCCGCAAATTCCTGATTGGCTAAGCTTTGATGAGTAACTTATTGGTGTGTATCCTGGCGTGTATTAGTGAGAGACAAACATGATGAAGGCATCAAGGAAATGTGTTCTACTGAAATAAGCTTTGGAAGATCAAAATAATTACTCCAATCATGTAGCAACCTCACATTAAAATCCGAACTGGAACCAACTGTAAGAGCTTGTTTAGCAGGCAGAGATGCTCAGGAGGTTTTGTATACTGGATTTGTCCAAACACCAAGTGGTGATTCAAAGCGATTCGATTCTTGCCAGACATCCGCAACGCCGATATTCGCGAGAACGCCTTTTCCGCAAACTTGAACATAAACTATCTTAATGAACTTCTAAATGGTTTGTAAAGAGAAGGCTGAAGCTTTGTTAGAAAACCATCCGTTGAGCTTTTTTGACAATTGTTTATAATTCTCCTATCATTATTTGCGTCTCACGGTACTGGTGACTGTTCTGTTCTTTGTGACCATTATGTTTGATGAGGTAAGACCAAAGGTCTTGTGTATTCACACGAAACTGATCATTGTTTGTCATAGAGTGCAAGCAGTAAAAAAGAGAGAGACTGCTCTTAGTCTATATGTTTGCCGTGTTTACCTCAGGAGCAAGAACAGTAAAGATGTCTTATTTCGCTCAATTATGATATCACTTGAAAAAAGGGTCTCGACTTGACAATTTCTGGTAAACAAAGTAATCAAGTTCGGACCATGCTGGAAAGCGCCCTACTTGTGATTGGTCACATATTGACAGTTGACTTTATCGAATGAGTTCAGAAAATGGTGGGTGGAATACAAAAACACCGGCTCTTATAGCAGGCACTCCCTTCGCTTTTCCCCTCTTTCGCTCTTTTCTCCCTCCCCCCTCCCCCCTCCCCTTTTTGCACCCGCCACGCAGGCTACATCAAACTACGAGGCTGAACATTCAAACAGTTGTATTTTTAAGTGTGTGATGCTGTGAACAAAAGGAGCTGGTTTTTTCGTACAAATAAAAAGCTTGAAAGGTAACTCGAAGCGAAAATTGTCATTTCACAAAGACATGTATGGAAATAGCGCCATTTTGTATTGACTTGTCAAAGGTTTCAGCCATTATTTTGTAGTTTTCACGCTATTTGTCATTCTTGCTTGGTGTCAAAAGCTTGTTTGACAATGGATCGATATTTTATACTGGCTTCTATATAATATTATATTATTTCTGTTTGGAGAAGATATGCAGTGAAAAACATGATAGTCAGCCATTATGAGACATACTTTTGTCAACCATAATAATAATAATTATTTTTAAAAAATTCTCAAACATAAGATACTTGAACTTTGGGGACCGAATGCATGTTAGCTTCAAGGAAAATGTTTCCCAAAACAGTCTAGGTCAATTTTGACATGATACTATTAAGATCGATGTGTTTCAGTGGGGCCCTGAATTACATAAAATTACAGACATAAAAATGCCTAAACATTTGAAGATAAAAATTTAAAAACTTTGAAGAATTAATCATTTAAGAATTAAAGAATAAAAACTATAAAATACTCCTAATATTTAAAAGATAAAATGTCAGAAATGTTTTTAACTTCATTTAATAGATAAAATGTTCCAGTCATTGACTGCTTGGTAGGTGAAATGGTTTTGTCCCCAGGAGCGACGTGACTGGTGCTTCAAAATGTTGTTTTTTTTCCAAGTGTTATAGTTGTGAATGTCTTTAAAACTGCTGTCCTCACTCATATTTAACGGTATATTGTCACATAAAGTCAATGATACATGTCATAATAGAGGCTCTGCCACGGTAAATTCCGACAAGTGACATGGTCCAAAAAGTAGCCAGAGCGCGTAAAATGAAATCATGACAAGAGACAACCTCCCTCGGCCAAATTGCCACAGTGACGGCAAAGCCAACAATAAGTGACAAGCATTTATAAACACCGACACGAGATGTTTTAAAATTCAGAAGGGCAACATGGGACCCCCCCAGCAGGGCCTCATAATAGACCATCAAATACCATACATGTATGAGTGTGAAACTGACCAGATCGCAGAATTTCATTTTTCACTCACTTTAATTTATTGACGATTTAAATTTAGTGAGACTTAATTTTGGTGCATTTTAATTTAGTGATTTTAATTTGCTCAATTGAAGTGTCATCAAAATTTTACGTAATAAGGTGCTAAAGAAAAAACTAAATTGAACAATATTCTGAGACTTTGCAGCACTCCCCTGACCTGAAGGCCTTTACATGTGCCTGGACCCAGCTGATTATTACATAATTTATGTTTGACCTGCCCAAGCTTCTCAGGCAAGTGAGAATCAAGCCTGAAAATGTCTTTTACTCACCAGCTTGTTCTAGTAAAACTTCCTCTCCACCTGGATGCTATACAATAAGAATTAAGAATAACAGCTCAGGTTAGTTAAGTTCCTGACACATAAAAATCCTCAAAGACGCAAAATAATCCATCGCATGCATCCCGTTGAAAGCAAAGATCGATCTATTGAACAGATTTGAAGATGCTTTTGTAGAATATCCTGTTCATGTGATTTCTGTGGCTGTTATTGTGGCTGTTGTTTAATGACATATATTTATTTTAGTCTCTTTTGTGCTTTAAATAGAGGGACTATATCTGTTTGGATACACATAGCCCAAGCACTTTAAATTTAGGACTTGCTGTATATCAAACTGGGACTCAATGGTTATGGAGAGGGACTCATGAGTTTTCACAAGATAAGTCCCAGGGCTCACCATAAACATTTGTAACAAAATCACTGGGCCTGAGTGCAGGTAAATGGTGACGTTTACTTCTGGTTATGGCGATAGATGATTAGTCAAAAGGGTATCCCAAAAGTCTCATGGGACAGTGTTTAGAGCTTTAGCCAAGTTTATGTTTACTTGTAATATGAAATGCACTTTAGCCTCTAAGATTGAGTAACCAGTGTCGGATGGTAGTAGCCCTAGTTCGATATATTTAACATGACTCCAAGGCTTTAGGGTCAAAATTGGAGATTTTTCACGAGTCCATTGTCTCACAATTCCCAGAAGGGAATTGAACACAAAGAAAACCAAACCAAATACAGAAAAATGCCCAGAAAGCCTCGGAGTCATGTTAGAATTTTAATGTATCAAGCATGGCCTATCAAATATTGATTTGCAAGATTTATGCATCAGTCAATTCCACCTGTAACCAACCCCCCCTCCCCCCCACCCCCCACCGGGCTGACCCCCGGGCATTAGCATTTTTTTTGCCTTGGATGGCAAATTCCCGGGGGTGGGGACACTTAAGCTGTCAAATCCCCCAGGGTGGGCAACAATGCAACATTTTCATTGATCGCACAGTCAAATAGTGCCATTTTACGCATCTTAATGTACGATTTTTTGTTTCAATTAACGTCTTCCTTTGTAATTGCGCTGAGGATTCTAATTAAGACTTCACGCCGTGACGACATGCACCAGTTTATGGTTTTAGTATTGATATAAAATTATTGACCTTAAAATTTATAGAGCGCTGTAAAGTTATATGTTATGATTGGTCTTATACATATGAAAAGATGTTCTTCAAATAATATCAACAGAAATTTGATTCAATAACCAAAAAACGTTGATTCACATCGACAGCTCCAATTTCGCTATGTAATTCTGGCTTGATAAGCAATGAAGAAATGCATACATAAATGTAAAATCGAGAACATGCCTTTACAACCCTCTACAATTTATTCCTGTCCTTGACAGATGAGCCAATCTGCTTTTTTTTCCAGTAAACCCGTTTGTGTAGTTATATTCTGATAGGAAATCGCGTGGGTGTTAAAAGCTCGGGAATGGCCCCAGGGTTGGCAAATGCCCGGCCCCTGCACAGTGCAAAATTTGCAAATGCCCCACTCCAGCGACTGACAAGGCGGGCAAATGCCCCGCAGTAGCCCGGGCAGGAGTGGGGGGATGGCTGGGTGCAGGTGGAATACACCTATTCGGCTAACTCAATGTTGTACCCAATTCAAACCCTTTGGGAATAAAACGGAAGATTTGAATTGGGTACAACACTGAGTCAGCCGAATAGGTCTATTGACTGATGCATTAGCTTGTATTTAATTTCAACCTGGTACAAGTGAATTAATTCCTAAAAGCAGCATCGAACGAAATAATTGTTGCCTGCTATTTTTGTTGCAGTCCAGGGAACATGTTACCATTTGTTAGGGTCCAACAATACCGGTATTACGCAATTTTAATGCTACGATGCGAAACTCGTGATATGATATCAAAAAGCTAACTGACTTCACTAAAATTCCGCCTGTTCAAATCAAAATAAATTTTTGCCTTACCTCATCTAAGAATTTAGTAACATCGTATACTTTGTTGTCTATAACTAACCACGACGATCCGGCCTGGTTGTGTTTTTTAACCTCTTCTAAAGTATACTTTTTTGTCTCTGCTTCGTCCATATTGCTTCTAGAACTAATGAAATGATTACATTGCGCTTGCGCCTGCGTTACATCTCGCCCCAGGCTCCTCGGAAAGTCTCTGCGAGCGAAACGGATCACTCGGCAACCAAAGCCTCTCAGGACCTGAGTGAAGCAATGGATCCGAAACCAACTGTGGAGTTGAACGCATTCAGAAACTCTAGTGATAAACAGTTGCGACATTCAGATCATTTGCTGTAGCAACATTTTGAACCTTGATAAAGGGCACCCCTGTGTAGACTTTGATAAAAATAGAATTAAAGTCAAAAAGACTAATGAAAAGACTGATCAAACAAGGTGAAAAAGGCTGAGGTATACAATATCCACGAATATACAGAAAATAAAATACTGTAAAATAATAAAGTTACATGGTATGACGTGGTATAGCCTGCGAAAACATCCGTTTCTCCTCGCTCTTCGCCGCTGGGGACCGCGCGAAACGTCCCCAGCGGCGAAGAGCGAGGAGAAACGGATGTTTTCGCAGGCTAGACGTGGTAAGGTGTGGCTACTAAGAAAAAAAAACGAAAAAAAGATAGTTGTGCAAGCATAATTTTTGGCGTAATGGCGTAGCGCGCGAATGATGTCAAACTCCAAGTGATTGATTTGCAATTTTTGTCTGCGTTTTGTCATTTTTCTCATTTTAATGACAAAAGACAGACAAAAGTAAGGAATTCGCTGATCACATGAGTTTGTTTGTCTTAGTTTCGGGTCCATAAATAGTAACTGTGCGCGGCGCCATTCGTCGTCACGAGAATGATTTTCATCTATTTTCCAAAAAAAAGCTCTAGATCTGCTAGCATAATTTGCACTTTTGGCTAGTCTTGCAGCACAAACTTCTAAGTACATGAGGCCGGTTCGAGCAAGGCTGACGGCACTGCCTAGCCCCAGCGCTACCAATCTGACCACTGACAACCGCACTGACGTCTCGGAATTATTTCCGGGATCTTTACTAGGGATACGCCACTCAGCTGTTGGCCGTTCCTATTAACAGTCCCAGACGTCTTTGCGAGAGTAAACTCGTTTAAGAGTAAACTCCTTTTCGTTTCTATTAAAAGTGGCGAATTAGCTGGCAGCGTTAAGACGGAATCCATCACTGGACAAAAACCTTGTACCAGAATATTTTAATCCATATCGCATTCTTTTATACACTTTTTAAGGGTTATAAATTTAATAAGTTTTATGAAATAACAGCAAAGTAAAGATTCTTATGGGATCCCGGGAATTGAGAAACACAGGTAAAATCATCATGAATATCGAATGCGTAAGATTCCTTTTGTGAGATTTTTAGCTTTTGTAGTTTGTTTTCTCGGGCTCCCACAAAAACCTTTTCTTTGGTGTTATTTAATATAACTTGTGAAAGTTAAAATTATATTACTCCTAATGCACTCCGTCTTAAAACCTTTACGCTGATGTGAGTGGTTGATGTTTTATTGCTTTGTTTTTGTTTTCGTTTTCTTTTTTTCTGGACTGAGAGGGATTGAGGCTCATGTTTTATTCCGTAGCATAAAAGGGCTATCCAAATATAACCAAGAGCCAAGATCCACTGAAGATAGCGTTCGTTATGTCCTTAGAGAGCTTAAACAACGACGACAGCCACGGCAACGAGAACGGGACCAAAGTAATAGGCTTAGGGTGCGTTCGATTGGGAATCTGGATTTAGATTTTAAAATCCGGATTTCGGATTTGCAATCGAACGCGAAATTCGAAAACGGATTTCAACGCTGAGATATCTGTTTTTGGACTTTCATTTTTACCGTTCGATTGGGAAATCCGAAAAAGGATTTGAAAACTGTGCTTAAGAACTGTGGTCTTGCACGCGGACGCATACTTAGCAAAAAGAAGGCCACTGTTCCTTTTTCGGATTTCCCAATCGAACGGTAAAAAGGAAATCCATGAAATCCGGATTTGGGTTTCTTAATTGAAATCCACCCTGTGGACGGATTTCTCGGAGGTGAAATCTGTTTTCGGATTTCACGTTCGATTGCAAAATCCGAAATCCAGATTTCAGAATCTAAATCCGGATTTCCCAATCGAACGCAACCTTAGATTGGCAAAACAACAACTCTGCACGTGCATCATGCTTTTTTGTACATTTCTTTGCCTTCGCTGCACGACTACAACGTGAAAATGCTTGAAAATTCTTAATTTCACGGTTTGTCAAGCATGCAAGACAACGATTTTCTTTTTCTTTTTCTGAACTTTGATACAGTCTTTAGAATTCAACTGCAGAAAAATTTCTGGGCGAATTGAACGAGTTGGAATAAGCGCTATAAAGTTTGAAGTAGCGCGAATTCACTTTTGAAGTGACGTTTTCGTAACCGTCGCCGTTATTCGATCAGTTCTAAAGCTCCCAAGTTGTGGAGGGTGGGTTCGCTACTAGGGTTGTGTTTTACTTTTTCGGGGTTGGTTTTGCTATATCTAGTTGGATTTTGGTAACCATACAGCCGTACGATAGCTAGGTTTGCTTCCCGTAAGTTTTCCGTTTGGTCGAGGAAATTTTATGGCCATTTTGTAATCATAATGCACACTTTATGTCAACGGCAGAAAATCGCCTACAAATCGCATCAAAATTCGAGCAAGTTTGAAAGCACGGCGATTACCAAGCTAGGGACAAATCGCCATGAAATCTCTGCTAGTTTACAAGGCCGATTTGAAAAAGCACTTCAAAACACACGAATTATTGTTTGTGAGTGCCCCTATACTTCTAGCCTGGGAAAACAGCTGATGCTTCTCGACGCCACCCTGACTGGTTCTCCCGCGAAATGACGTCAGAGAAACTAGCGCAGAAATTCCACACTGATGACGTTTCACTACACAGATCTGGATAGTGCCTCTTATTGGTTGAAGAAAATTTTCAACCTATAACAAGCACAAACCGGAAAAGGGAAGTGACTTGATGTAAGTATGGAATTTCTGCCCTCATTACTCAGATCTTATGGGAAATCGTCGTTGGCGTCTCGAAGTATCGGCTGTTTTCTCAGATTATTTTATTTCGGAAACCTTACCATTGGGGACACGATGTCCTTATCGTGTTTGTAATAAGTAGGTGTGGCATTTTAAGATCAACTTTCACTCCATAAAGAAGTCACAAGAAAAAAACCCTTCTACTTTTTCCCACTGCGGAATGATCAAAAAAGCTGAACGATTTAATTTCAAGAATCTGTTTTTTATTTAGAAGTCTTTCTTTACTACCACTTTGCTTCTAACAAACAATTTGAAACAGTAACATTTGCGAAATAGCTTTAGATAGTTTTTATTATATTATACATTAGCTTTTTAGGGTAATTTCGTGGCTCGACAGAGCAATAGATGCTAAGGTTTACTTTCTCAATCACACTGGAAAAAAGTTGTTTCCAAAGTTTTAATTCTTATTTAGGGGCAGGGGGAGTACTGACCTTCGTTTCAAGATATTCACTCAAAGATCACAATAAACGAAGGAAACTAAAGCTGTACATTTAATATTAGAGCGACTTTCAGTGAAGTGTGCTAAGAATTGTCGCAAACAATTTTTTTCTTAGCAGTCACAAGAAAGGTATATATTGCCACGAACCAATCAAAACTCCAAAGAAGAAACATGCAGTCGACAAAAAGCGCGGGAAAACAGTTGTAGGCTATTCATGATTTCACATCGGATTGGTTAAGAAAAAGGCGCCATTTTTTTCAGCCAATTACATAGTGCAGTAATGAATTAAATGCCGAAACAATCACACTTCAATGAAAACCGCTCTTTAAATGGAATGACACTGAATAATTTTTTTATTACATCTCTATTTTCTACAGCTATTAGCTGAACTGTCCCCAAAGCTCTCGGGATCTAAAAACCTGACCAGCTGGTGAAATCTTCTGCCAGTTTTGTACTCAAAGTACGCCATCGCGTTTTTGATATTTTTTCAGAATATGATAAAACAGTATTGTTCTAGACGTTTTCTAATCCAGTTTTCAGTATTGTAACATTGTAACTTAGTAATACAACAGCTTTTGCGATCTGTAGAATACGACTTCAGTCGTCAGGCTCAACTTATACACGATAGTCCTCACTTGGTGACAATGACATAAACACCTTTTAACCAAACTGAACTCTACGACATGTATACGTCCTTACATTTTCTTTGGCGAATGCCTCCTACATGCCCAGAACTGATTGGTAAAACACACGAAACAGAAGAATCAACTTGTGTGGTTCTTGTGTTTCGAGTTGTCTGTGCAGTAACAAACAGGAAGCCCAAAGACATCAGTAATAATTTTAGGTCATGACACCTGCTTTGCCTTTTCTTCCATGCATACATATAGCAAAGGAAAGAGAACAACTTAAAGAAAAGAACTTTACACTTTTCCTCATTCTATACATGAGTTAATTTTCTGCTAAGAGAAATCTATGTACAATAAGCATTAATTATTATAGCTCTTTATATATGTTTACAAACTCTCTAACGCTACAATATATATTTTATATAGCACAACGAGAAACAGCTTTCCTCCTCATGTAGTTCATTATTTTATGATACTCGAATATGCACTAATATATATGAGTAAAATACCCCACATGCTGACTCTAAATATCATAACTTGCTTTTTCCCTTCATGTCATTGAAATTTGCGTTTGTATTCATATCTAGGACTTGGTTGTCTTGAAATCTTAATCAGCGATTTATTTTCGATGCTTTCCAAATATTACATCAATCAACCAGCCAAAATATATAAAAGCACTTTTTGGGTTTTTTAAAACCTTTCAAACGAAACGGGAACAGTCACCACGATTTTCCCTATCGAGACATTAACCACTATTTAGTCAAAAACCAGAAGCGAAAAATTGCAGTTGCGTTACGTTAATTTGAAACCAAACTAATTTGCAGGATGGAGAGGTGAAGAGGCAAGGAAGGTTTTGCTAACGTGGCAAAAGACTAAAGGGCCACGATATTATATATACATACTGCTTTCAATGAATAATTAAACATCATAAGTACAAAGCGCTGACATTTTAAATTCAGCACAAGCACAGTCCTAAACTGACTGAAATCCAGTCAGAGAACAAATAACATCTGACTAAGGCCTAGTTGTTCCAACGTCTAACTTTTCATGTAACAAACCTAACTCCTTCAGTTGAGTACATGAAAAGATCGACATAGTTGGGTCGATCCGAGAATTAAGTTCGAGTGGCCTAGAGGGGTATTTCGACTGTGCGAGCGTTTCATGTGCCGAGTCTAATGCATAACTCATTATAATTCATTTTGCGTATACATCGTGATAATGAATTGAGTCCGACTAATTAAGTTCGAAGGTCATCATTTGAGTGGAGCCAAACAGGTTATTACGTTGGACGTTTCAACTGAGCCTTTGGAGCGACAAACAGCTTTCCTTCCCAAAATTCTTGGAAAGGGAGGGGGATTTTCTTGGACAATGTAATGATGATCCGGAAAATAAGACTAAATAATATTAATTCTCTAAACTGAAACGTCTAAATTCAATTTTGCTATATCGCAAACCCCTGATTCCTTTTACTTGGTAATACAACATATATCCTAATGAAATAAGAAATAATTTAAGGTGGCTCCGTAATTAATACAAGAGCATTTTGCTGTGACAAATTTTCCGTCATAACTTTTTGGTTCTTAACGCGATGACTGCGAAACTTTGCAAAGAACAACATATATCATTCGGCAATAATACGAAATATTCCGATTTCATTGATGGTAAATATTTCTTGAGAAATTAGCGCTTAAAAGGACCCTACTGTTCGAAGAAAATCGCGTCTAGTAAAAAAATTTGCTGATATTTTTTACTGAAATTTCTGGTATCGGCTTTAATTGATATAATAAATATGCCAGAGGAATTTCAGAAAAATCGTTGGAGCAGAAGTCCGTAACTAAAAGTCGCTCAAAATTCAGCTGTGAAATTGTTTTGGAATTTCAAAAATAAATTACTATCAGGAAGAAGGAGCAACCAGTTTGAATTTTCGGGACAAGTAAATTCAACGTTTGCTAATTCTTAAAACAAAAGCCGATTGCCTATCGTGCTATTCTTTAAAAGGTACTTTTTAGTTTTAGAAGCACCATAAATTGCTCCAAACCTTGCTCTGAAGTAGAATGACTTGTTCTTCGACATTTTTAAAATATCCCTTTGCAGTTTTGGCTCAAACTCCTGCTGCATACATTTTGATGTATTGCAATTCATTTTCAACGACTTTTACTGCTGTTCGTTGCTTCCAACTCAGGAAAAAAGTATTGAGATTGGACGCTACCTCGTATCAGAGCTCAGATAGAACTGTCCAGCACCTTTGTTTATGACTACAAAATGAGCACGAGCGGCAGTTCTGCGAGGAATTCGCACCTCACCCAGGGGGGACGAACGACAATGATGACCATGCCTGTGAACCGAATAACATCACAGTGCAAAATAAAATTATCGCAAAAATACTGCCCGTGAATAAATTTACAACTCTGAAATTTTTGTCACTCCTTCCTTCAATGAATGGGTATTTTTTCTTGATTATTATGTTTTGCTCTGCAATACATGTTTATACAGATCGGTTCACAGACATGGGTATCATTATCATTCGTCCCCCCTGGCTGAGGTGCGAATTCCTCGCAGAGCTGCCGCACGTGCTCATTTTCTGGTCATAAACAAAGGCGCTGGACAGTTCTATCTGAGGTTCGATACAAGGTAGCTTACAATCCCAATACCTTTTTCCTGAATTGGAAACAACGTACAGCAAGAAAAGCCGTTGAGGATGCATTGCAATACATCAAAATGTATGTAGCAGGAGTTTGAACCAAAACTGCCAAGGGATATTTTAAAAATGTCGAGGAACAAGTCATTCTACTTCAGAGCAAGGTTTGGAGCAATTTATAGTGCTTCTAAAACTGAAAAGTACCTTTTAAAGAATAGCACGATAGGCAATCGGCTTTTGTTTTAAGAATTAGCAAACATTGAATTTACTTGTCCCGAAAATTCAAACTGGTGTCTCCTTCTTCCTGATAGTAATTTATTTTTGAAATTCCAAAACAATTTCACAGCTGAATTTTGAGCGACTTTTAGTTACGGACTTCTGCTCCAACGATTTTTCTGAAATTCCTCTGGCATATTTATTATATCAATTAAAGCCGATACCAGAAATTTCAGTAAAAAATATCAGCAAATTTTTTTACTAGACGCGATTTTCTTCGAACATTAGGGTCCTTTTAAGCGCTAATTTCTCAAGAAATATTTACCATCAATGAAATCGGAATATTTCGTATTATTGCCGAATGATATATGTTGTTCTTTGCAAAGTTTCGCAGCCATCGCGTTAAAATCGAAAAAGTTATGACGGAAAATTTGTCACAGCTAAACGCTCTTGTATTAATTACGGAGCCACCTTAATCATCTGATGCTGAATTAAGAAGTCACGAAAATTAATTGCAGGCCCCAGAGAACAGGTCGGCGGATCACCAAAATTTAAAGAAATAGAAATCCATATATTCAAAATAGGATCACGGACATAAAAGGAAACAAAATTTAAAATTCAATTTGAGGTTCATGGTGCCTTCTTTTAAGCGCACTTAGTTATCACACCTCTGTAAACAAGTCCCACGTGGTCCCAATGTCCCTGAGTGGTGTCCCTGTGCTGAAATCCCCAAGAAGTTAGCTCCTACACTTACAAACTTCTTCGTTCTTATCTACCACAAAATCGGAGTAAATTCTCAGATATATGGATCTCTGTACAGCCCTTTAAGTTATTTACCAAACTTTTAAAGGGAGTAAAGTGTCACATAAGAGACACTCCTCTACTTAAATCTAAATCGTAAAACATTTTCCACATTTCCAAGCGCGTATGAAGTTATAAATATGAATTTCTTGATTACTGTTCGCTCCCAGGTGTCTTTAGGAGACGGTTGAGGTAACGCGCCAACTGACTGGTGGCCAAAAGACTAACGCGGTAATCTAAATTGTTTGTGATGAAGTCACAGATGCATTTACTCATGTATTTCTTGAAGCAAGGGACTTGCGATAACGCTTGGCAGAAATCACAGTCAAACATCCGTGTAACGCACGTCAATTTCTTGAAGTCTTGGTAGTTTCTTTAGTGACAAGGAAAAAACAATACTTCAGAATAGGCCATTTAGGAGTTCCAAAAACTCTCACTTTCAAAAGGAGGCTTAGTACAAAACCTTTCTTGTGAAAATGAGTTTTATTTGCATGAGAATAAAAAAATCATTTCAGGGCAATGGCTTCGCACTTAATCTCGCCTTGAAACAGAGGCTTGGGCGACAATAACACCCTTTGAAGATTTAAAAACACATCACACTAATCCAACAAAACTTTCAAAAGGATAAGTAAATTAACAGCATATTAGTAATATGTTAAACTTTCAACAGTAAAAGTAGCAACCTTAGCTTTAAAGTACTTTACTATGCCTTTGCAAATTTATCTTTTTTGACGGCGGCGAAATCTTTAAGCTCCGTGCATACCGACGCAACAACTCCCAACACTGTTGGTTTGCACGTGGCTAAATGCTTGACCGGTTTCAAACTTTGCGCAACAGCTCTTAACAACACGCAACAACATGCAACAGGGTGTCCAAACGGACGCAACATGTAAAATCCAACAATGTTACGTCCGGGCTTTAGCTGCTAACAAACGCGGGAACATACAAACACACAATCGCTGTAATTTAAGCTGTAAAACGGAGTAAACATCCAACGAAGAAATGCAACAGCTGCACGTGTATGCTGCAGATTCCGCCGATAGAAAACACACGAATCATTAAGCGTGGGAAATCGGGTAACTGGTGACCGTAAAAATATAGTAACACAGGACTCAGAAAGTGCGGGAAATCGCGTAACTGGCGACAGTACAAACATAACACAGGAATCACAAAGCGCGGGAAACATTCCACGTTTTGTGTGCAATGACTGACAATAACCAACTTACCCTGAGTTTTTCGTACGTTGTTGGAGAGAGCCTGGTACTGTTGAGGTTTAAACTACGGAGACTGGACATGATTACCAAGGATGACAGTCCATCATCAGTCACCGGCGTCTCGCACAAGTTTAAAGACTCCAAATTATGAAGCTGCTCGGCCACCATGTGAAGACCTTTGTCGCCAAACTGAAAGAAAAGAAAAAGCGTTCCCCTACGTGAACTCATTCTCCGCATGGAAACAGTACAGAGTGAATGAAACTTCAGGTTAGGAGTAATTTTCATCCACGTTTGTCATGAAGGTGAGGCTTGTTCTAGCTCACACTCCATTTCAAACTCCATATCATACTCAGCTTCATCCAATAACTGCTTATTATCGCGTGATTTTTTATTTGAATGAAACACTTTGAATACCTCGGTCCCATTCATGACTGGGTACAATTGAAAGTGAACTAGCTAATTAAAATAAGGCACATATCTAGCCCTAACGAGTGTGTCCCTCGGAGTTACGTACCTGCGTTGACCACAAATTTAGGTGCAGCAGGGCGGGAAGTTGTACAAGATACTCGGCGCACGCGCTCGTCACGTGCGTAAACGCCAGGTTGAGGCTCTGGAGATTACCAAATGAGCCGGACTTGAGAAGCCGAGCCAGGTCATCGTCCTGGGTAAAGAAAAATATTACTTCGCGGTTAAAGACGAATAGGTGAACCTATGACGCACATAATAGCCGTCAATTTTCCCAACTTGGTCGAAGGGAAAGTTCCTTCTAGAAAACGCTATAAGTTCACATTAGACAAGAAGGTCAGGACGTTGCCGTTTGATTCTTAGATAAACAAGAAGAAAACTGCGACTAGAATGGTGACCAATCCTGAAAAATGTTCTAGTCCGTACCGCGCCTGTCTGTCATTTACCTGCCTTATTTCCCGTTTTAAAACGTACTCGTCAAGAAGACTCAAAGACATTTAATTTCATATGAGACTGTTTTCTGTCAAACGGAATTCCGTCTCGGCGATTTTCCCATTACCTGAAACTCCCTTAACAAAAAAAAAACGAAAACAAAAACAATGTTAAATTCCACTAAGTGTTCCACTCACCGTTGATTTTGTAGGTAGAGTGAGAACTGTTGGTCCACCTTTTTCCTGCTACAAATAAGGAACAACGGGCATTTAATAATCGTTCTAAAAGAGCGAGCTATTTCTGCTGAGTTTGATGTAGTTAAGTTTCGTTCTCTTTATTCTTAACGTTTATATTAAAATTGATCTTCCCACTAATAATACGTACCATTTGCCTGAACTTGGCTTTTCTGAAAAACAGAGGAAAAATAGACAGTCATGTTAATACGCCATGTTCTCTGTAGTAATCTGAAACTAGATTGATGCTTACAAAGGAAAACGAGTTACGCGGGAGACCGGGTCGAGATAGTTGTCAAGGTGCATTGTGGGACTGTTTTTGGGGACGCATTTTCAACATGGCGGCAAATTCGTCTCCCAAAACAGTCCCACAATGCACTTTGACAACCACCTCGACCCGGTGGCGCATAGGCTATTACGAGGTCTCGCAAGAAACCTGGGTCAAACTACGTCCCTCAAAACAATCCCATAGTACAATTCAACACAAAACAGACCCAAGATAACGTGCAAATTCAAAATAGCGTATAACAGAACAAAATGCATCAATATTGACCCCGAAAATCATTTTGTTGAAATTGTTTGACACCAACTTACTTCTGACACAGAGCCTCATAACAAGTTTTGCCTTCCTCTGTGCTCTCCAGTGTAGATATTATCTGTAATTTTTCATTTTCGTCTTGAAGGACTTCAACTTCTAACATAAATGACAGTGTCTGGTTGAGTGAGAGAAAAAGAAAAACACGATTTAATATAAAAAGCAAACGCGCTTGCTTATTTCACAGTTTATCACGAAGAAGCTACTGATACATATCTCTTTCTCTTTACTTATGTTATTACAGTAGTGGACAGTGCTTTGAAAAATCTTCACTCTACCAGTAGAGCAAAATATATTTCTGGAGTCTATTTCAGCTGTAAAGACACTGGACTGTAAGTAACTGTGCTGAGTTGATTCGCGCTCACCTGGAACAGACCCTCCTTGTGAATCACCGGCTGGACTTCTTTGTTTTTAAGTTCTTGTATGAGACCGGTCAATCAGCACTTGCATAAAAGCACCGACTTCTTGATCGAAGTTAGGGTAGGTAATACATAACACTGGCGCTTATGGTTGAATGATTTCGAAGGTTTCAAATGGGATAAGTAACAAAGGAAACTACGTGATATCATTTTAGCTGTACTGTATTGATAATTCATCACTGAAGAAACGAGAAGGCAACTGCAGTCCTGTGTTATACGATTGTTTCTGGAATCGTTACTGGGGACGCGCCGGTCAGTTATCGGTGAATTTTTTTTCCCTGTCCCTGCAACAGTTCCAGAAGGTCTGGGAAACCTAATCAGAATTATTTTCAGGCAGCCACTTATCAGGGCCTTGGACCTGTCCAACACTACAAACCCACTGACCTGAATAAAGCTGCTCTCGCCTCTTAAGGCTAAAAGCATAAAGGGACCAAGCATGGAGTCTTTTAGATCCAAAAGAGTCTTTTTCCTTCTTCCACAACAATTAAGTAGTCTGGACATCTGACGAAAAAAAGCAATACAAACATGCTCGACAAACTCTCATATGTACACGAAATGCAGGAGTCAGCAAACCAGCAGGTAACCGGTCAAGTCGCCCGAAAGTCATCTCAACCAAGTTATATCGCCCGAAACCAGAGACATGTCCCCAGAAATTTTAATAAAGAGTGTATGTAATATATCTCGTTCTTCAAGCGGGATAATGGTGTAATTCAGTCTCGTTCTTTAAGCAATGATGCTATGGTGAGACGAAACAAGCGATATGAATGTGAATCATCTCCCGTTCTTTATGCGATGAAGACACGAAACAAGCGAGAGGAATGTGCAACATATCTCGTTCTTTTAGCCTTAAAGATTTGATGAAACGAAAAAGGGCGATTAAGATGTTAGGATGTTGCTGAGCATGATAAAATTTCGGGCGACTTGACTAAAAATTTCGGGTGACATGACTCTGGTTTCGGGCGAGATGACTTTGGGGTGACTTGACCTCAAGCCATCACTCAGCCCGAGAAAACTGCCGACTCTGACGCCACTGCAAATTTCCCTTTCAAAAACAGTCGCTGCCACTGTTAAGACACTTGGAAAATTTTTGACCTGTTATTGACAGTGTTTCTACCGAAAAGAAAGAAAATCGCAACCCTGGGTCGAACCCAGAACTCGAACGCGGACCTTTCTTATCCTAATCTCTCTCCCTTACCACTACACTGCCACTCCGACCCACCAAAATTCCGAAAATTTTGAGTACATAAACTAGCGAACTGTCTTTCTCAAGTGATACATCAATCAGAGATGACGTATTACTTGCCTTATTGTAACTTAATGCAAGGAATATAAGGCAACTTAGGCAAAGAACTTAGGCGACGAACGTCAGCCGGAAGTGAGGCCTTATTTTAACATACTTAAACGCTACCACAATTGTACTACTAAGTGTCCTTTCTCTTATAACGAAGAAAAAGCCCACTTCCGGTTGACGTGCGTCGCTCAAAAACGTCTTTGCTTAAGTTCCCTTATGTTACATCTATCACGACTGAAAGCGTGGTTACCAAAGGTGGCATCGACCTTTAAAAAGGGCAACGACCGTTCACAAAACGGAAATAGGCGATGCCTCCACTACTTCCCCCGCGAAATGACGTTTGAGGAACAAGCGCAGAAATTCAATTGGTGAAAGCAGATTTTCAACCAATCAGAAGCATTGCGCGGATCAGGATAGTGACACACCATCAGTATGGTGTTTTTTGCGCTTGTTCCTCATACGTTCATTGGCGGGAAACTGTTGGTGGCGTAGCAAAATGTTGGCTGTTTTCTCAGGTTAGGCAACACTGCTTCTAAACAAGCGTTGTCATTATAAACACAAGTTGGAAAATTCTCTAACTTCAACTGAAGCTTGCATAAAATCATCTAGCAGACTGTTTGGAGAAATGCTAATAGACCAGCGTCTCTCCCTGATCTCGACCTTATCCTTCTCCCTTTTGCCTTTTAGAGCAACAAGAGAAAGGAAGGGTGCTTTCCAGTCAACAAAATTCCCGCTTTGAAATTTCGGAAATTCCACGTGCCAAATGGAACGGTACATTCCGGTTGCACAGACCCGACCTAAGCCACCGCGCGTTTGGTTATTGTTCTTGAAAGCAGGATACAGAAGAGCGGTGCTGGACACAACAATTTTGTCAAATTAATGGACAGGGCATTTCGGTCCGACCAACCGAGACAACCGGACTGGTCAAAGTGGACCACCTTCAAAGCTGGTCCACATTCCGCAATAGTTCGTTCCACTTGATGTACCAACCGAAATTTCCGGAATTTTGGGTTAAATAGAAAGCGCCCGTAATTTCAAGCGCAAAACTGAGAGCAAGCAGTCTTGAGTCTTTCAAAGTCATATCCCATTGTTTTTACAAGTAAGACAACTTACCACATGAGAGAAAAAATGTCCTTCGTCAAAACAGGAAACTCCTCCTGGGCAAATGATGTCAATCCAGCCATCTTTTCCCTTTCTGACTGGAAGAATTGATTGATGGACCTGCAAAACCAGAGAATAGACCGATTTCATCAACGCAAGTTTAATGAAAATATTGTGGGCTGTTCATTAGGTTGTTCGCTGTAGTTCAAATGAAAGCTACTTCTACTAAACAAGGTAGTATTGTGAAGGGTGTCTTTGAAACCTGTAGATGCACAAAAAGAACACCAGCAAAGACTGTGATGATAGAGACAATAATAATAATAATAATAATAATAATAATAATAATAATATTATTATTATTATTATTATTATTATTATTATCATAATCATAACTATAACAAAATTGTCAAATCTGATTGGCTCTCAACTGCCCTGATTTCAGCCTTAATTGGACAGTTTAATAGGACAGTACGCGTCATGCCTAAGTAATTGGACAGTACGCGCCATCACGCGCGCGCTTAAATGGTTTTTTTTTTTCACTGCTAGCAAAACAAAATTTCGAATTTCTTGTGTTTCGGTTTAAAAAATAGCCTATTGTATCACAAATTTTGTTAAAGTTATGATTAACTGGTAACAGAACTTCGTGTCGTCCAATTCAGTCTGTAATCATACCCGTGATTAAACAAATCGGACTCCCGCTACGCGGTCGTCCTATTTTGTTAATCACTTGTATGATTACAGACCGAATTGGACTCCACTCAGTCCTGTTACCATTACTTATTATCATAATTACTATTATTGTTTTTAGTTTTCATCATCATCATCACCATCATCATCATCATCACCTCCAATCTTTAATTATTGTAAAAGAAATCGTTCATACTTTTAAAGTTGGTCTTCACCTGAGCCATGTGAAGTTACAATGAGTACGTCAAAAAAAGAACTACTTCAGTAAGAAAGCCGGTGCCATAAAAAATTCTATAATCAAAGTTTCTTCAGTCTATTATGTGTTAAAAATAATCCTTTTTAATGCAATGAAGTTTTAAAATTATTCAAACTGGGCAGTTGTCTGTTTTGTTTTACACACTGTAATTTAGTTTAACATCATCATTATTTTTCTGCAGTGATTTCTCGTGATGGTAGATGGACCAAATGATCAAATAACCACAGCACTGTTCTTAGTTACCTCACAGCGCTGATCTTCAGCAAATGCCTTAATCACTGCACTGATGTATCTATTTCACAGTACAAACACAAATAATTAGTGGGGATCACGTAAAGAGAGTAAACACGAGACATCAATTTCCTTGCGTCTATAAATGTGATGAATTTGCCCTGTGGTGGCACAATCCAAACTCTGACAACATTTGGAAAAATGAAAAAAAAAAAATAGAATAAAATCTATCAAAAAGTTGTTATTAAAGTACATGTATTGCTTACCTAAACTTCTTGTTTATCAACCAGCACAAAAACTCTCATTATTTATTTATATTTATTATGACAGTAGAACCCCGGAATCTCGAATTCTGAAGGGAAACGAAAAAAGTTCCAGTTGGCGGGGAATTCGAATTATCGGGGTAAATTTCAGTGAAGGAAATTTAGTTTGAGTTAGCGGAGAATTTGAGTTAACCAAGTTCGAATTATCGAGGTTCTCCTTTATACTCATTTTTTTAGTAACTTGTTAAGTACTTACTACAAAAAACAGGTTCCACTAAATTCAATATAATTAACAATAAAGCCTTCCAGTGTTAGATTATAATAGCTGCCTGCTAGTGGTACCCAAGTAGTCAAGAGCTAGTCTAAAGTTGCACTTACAGTACGAATGTCTCATTCTTGAGAGCTCTGCAAGAGAACAAAATAAACACATTATTTAGGTAAACAAAATGACCAAGTCTGTGAACAATAATTATATAGATTTAGCCAAGGCTAAATTAAAAGCAAAGCTCCCGCTAATAAGTTTATAAACAATAAACTTGTAACCATTGCAAAGAAATCCACTTAGAGTTGAGCCTGTCATCAGTTGAAAACTAGTAACTTGTCAGCAGATAACTTCAAAAAACATGTAACCTCAATGATTCAACACTTGGCCTCGCAATACAGTCATGTGAACTGGTCATTGTCTTTAATTGGTTGACTGCCAATAGCATTATGCTAATCGTACCAATGGGTGGCAAAATTATGCAGATGGTGATGACAGATAGGTTTTAAATGAGGTCAGCAGATACCCTGTTTCGACAGCAGTCAATTGTCAACAACATGAATGTGCAATACCAAGTTACAGGTTCTCACACAAGCCAGAACGTGTGAGATTTCACACTGGTTACCCTCTGGTGTGGACAGACGAGTGGACGGGCTAATGTGCAGCCATGTGACCACCAAAATTTCTTGGATGGATAGATCACCAACGTTCTTTAGATATGGGGCTCACCTAATATATCATTAACCATGCATCTTACAATACTGTTATATGAAGGTTAATTTGAGGTTACTTACTCCTTTGGGAATGGAATTGGCTGGAGAAGTGTTGACAGGCTAGGCCTCCAGTCTTCAAATTGTGCACTAAAATTTCATCAACACAAGCCTCAATAAATAAAATGCTTTTATATGGAAAGCAATGAAATACTGGGTCAGATTTTAAACGAAAACTTGTTCACATTTGAAAATTAAGAAACATGTTAACTTCATACGTGAAAAGATAACAAGGGCTATGGTTACAAAATCAAATGTGGCTTTCACAGCAAAAATTTATAAAAGTGAAAAGGTTTGGTCTTTCCCACAGATTGAGGATCAATGGAATTCTTCAGGACTAGGTTACAAAATTTGAGGATTTCTTTAGGGGTAGAGTAAAAAAATATGGAATTCTTTTGGGGCGTAGCTTTAAATTCCGGGAAATTCTTCAGATGTAGAGCCATGTTCTTCAGAGGGAACACCCGTATTTTATGGAAGTCTTCAGGGGTAAATGCAACTTTAGTCAATCTTCCGGGGTAAGGAGAAAACGTGAGTCGTCAAAAAAAATGTCCTTAGTTAGTTAAAATCAGTGTCCCATAAGTCCTTACATTGTGTCCAGCACTGTCATGAAGCACAGTAGGAATTTAGTGTTAATTTCTTCATACTTGACAAGCCTGAAATCAGACAAGGTAATAACCGTTAAAGCAAAAAAGAACTTTTTTGAAAAATATGATCAAAGTACAGGTGTCCATATGTGTATATTGAGCCTTTTGTAACACTCTTATACACAGACCTGAAAAATTGGTACTGGGTTTGAAGGATTTTGACAGGTGATATTTGTACAAGAGAAAGATTTCAAACAGCCAATGGAAGGGAGGCAGGAAGAAGTTGATAAGATTTTCTACATGGTTAAGATGGAAACATGCTTATTCCTCACTCCATAAACTGGAGGGAAGATGGGTACAGACTTTAAGCCTCACTGATTCTGGGATTTTTGAGGTGGACAAGAATTAGTGTAGTCATGGTTGATGGTATCCAAGGTAACCATACGCCAATCATAAAGAAGGCTTCACAGCCAAATGAGACCAGAAATTGCTGCCCTGAAAGCTTCCGACCACTCCTTCAAGTTTTATGTGTGGCAAAATAAAAATGTAACAGAGCCAGTGATGTTCTGTTCAAGGAGAATGTTGGCACAAAACGATCAACACATTATAAGTAAAACAGTAACGTACAACTTGTCGCTCTGGTCAAATGTGGAGTAGACAGCAGAAAGAACAACAGCAACTAGATTAGGAAGAACACGAGGATGTGGACATGCAGCTCCAGGACTGTGGACGCTATGGAACATAAAAACATGAGCAAATGAGTTTCCCCTAATGAGTATCACTTTGCACTAAAACAGGTTGAAAAGCTGCCTTTTTTCTCTTATGATTCACATCACAAAGATGAGAAGATGTCAGACTGTAACAGGCAGCAAAGCCTAGTAATAATATTAAGGGTGCTTGCAAGAGTCACATGCTTGCAAATAAAAGGTATAATACTGCTGATGTATGATAAAGGTACCTTTGGAAAACTCAAAGTCATATTAGACAACTTAACCTTTGATGCACAACAAAGTTGTGCCATCCTGCTTTTGCCATCCAAGAAAAATATGCAAAGGTACATGTAATTTGTAATGTATTGTACATTAGTACTACAATAATAGTTATTTGGAGAGCTATAATAAAAATGTTTTAAAACTATAAAAGTGGTACAGTTCTATTATTCCTACATCACTTGTACTTCTGTCCTGAAACTCTGACTTTCAATAACCGATAAGTGACCATCGAGCCCTAGTCAAACTAAAATCCTTCTCCTTTGTGGCAACTGATGCCTTTACGGAATACAATGATTCTTTACTGCAAGATGCAATGTTTTCACACGAGAAATATCAAGACTCTCAAGAAAACCAAACCATCGCCATTACTTCCTCCGGACCAAACATTTTAGCATAAAATGGTTAGTGTACTTCAACTGGTGTGCTGTTAAATAGGCCACCCGACCAAACTCTTGCCACAAAAGAACTATATGCCTGAAAGAACAGGCAGACCAACTAACCTCTCCACAAATTCTCTAACAACGTCTGCATCTTCATCTTTACAGAACAACGTATAAATATAATCCTGAACAAACATTCGGAGATGGGGATATTTACCAAAATCCTGTGGAAGACAATATGTGTTCTGTGAAAAGAGACATTAAGTTGATTGTTTTAAACTTTGTCTAACTGACAGGTCCTGGCCCAATGGAGATGTAAGACACCACAAGACAGAAACTTGTTTTCCCTTACAACTCATTCACGCCAGTCCCTGCAGATAGTTTTGTTTTCTTGTGATAACTTGCATTCATTCTCAGCTCGAAACTAATAGCAAGTCAACACTCATCAAATGTTTGGAGTTATTAAATTTGGTCAACTAGTAGAATTAGTGCGTAGAGTTGCTCTAATTTTTAATTGATTGGTCTGTAGAATGAAATAGCTCTTTTACCACAAGAAAACAGTTTTAACATACAGTGTACAGTTGAAACCCGATGATGCAGCCAACCTCCATTAAGCAGCCAGTTATCAAAAGGAAAATCAAACCTAAATTAAGCAGCAAACCTGACAAGAGTTTCCCTATCGTAGTCACCTCTATAAAGCGGTCATCAAGCATTGCCTACACTTAGTGTGGCTTTATTTTAAAAACATGATGAAGGAAAATACAGTCCGAGAAAGAAGGTGACAATTGCCTGTGGACTAGTTATGCTGCTCTTGTTGCAAGATTGTTTCAAAGTAAATTGATGTTTCCATCAAAGATTATGCTAATTTATGATGAACCTCTATTGAGTGGCCAACCACCATTGAGTGGCTACTTGCTGGTACCCCGAGGGTGGCTGCTTAATGGCGGTTTAACTATACTGGAACATAAATAAATTTTACATTTTGAACAGCTACAGCTCCTGTATATAAAGAAAGGACTAAATGTAGTTTTTCTATTATCCACGATGTACATGTATAAAAACCAGACAGCCTCTATGAATTAGCTACATTAAACAAAAAACCTAGATTACAATGAAAGCAAGAAAATTCTACAAAACAAGCCCTTCAACTTTCAAGGAAGGAAATAGAGAGCCTTAAACGCTGAAATGTTTAAAACAAAGGGTCCTCGGAATAATAATACTACAAGTTTTACACAAAATTAAGATTTCCTAGTTGCCCAAGGGTATAAATAAGTCCCCAGGGCTACCACCTGCCACCAGAATGGATAAAGCTATCCACTCTGAAAAACTCTATCTAGTGGATAATGCAGTTGGTTTCCCTTGCACATATCTAATGGTTGCCAATTAATGTGGTGGAAGGCTATCCAACTTTTGACCAAGCAGGGCCTGGTCATACAGAGTAATGTTTGCTTCACATTGTCTCTGGATAATGGATGTTTGAGTGCTGGGTTAGCACTGTGATAGCAAACCACCAAGACAGGAGTAGAAAAATCTCCTTGTTGCTCTATACATCTGAAACCACTTAAAGGGAACCTCCACTCTTACTACAGATTAAGTTTAACTCGAATAAAATTATGTTGATAAACAAGTTTGTTCAAAATTTGTCCTTAAAAAAAATGTTTATATCAGGAAAAGTGAATTTTAAAATCGCTTATTTTCACTTTCTAACACAAAGAGCTTTTGTTTAATAACAATAGGGCAACCATAACACGTCACAATTATTCAAGATGGCGACGCCCGCAAAATTTGAAAACAAAAATAGGCGAATCTAAAAGTTATTTCTTTCGGATACAAACGCTTTCTTTAAAAATATTTTAGATTGACTTGACTGTAACAATTATTTCCTGTGATTTAAAGTTATCTTTTTGTTGAAGTGGAGGTTCCCTTTAAACCTCACCCAGAAAACATGTTCTCCGACACGTTTCTTGGACAAAAGTTCTACTTCATTGGTAAAGGACATCTCAAATCTCAGCCTTTAAAATAGTGTCTAAGAGTACAAAATAAAATTAATAACGCTGTTCAACGTATGCTGCATATCCGTATGAAAGTCAAAGTAAGAGTCTTACCATATTGTGCTTAAGGATTCTGTGAACAGCTGGAAGGAAAACATCCAGTACTTCATTGTTATAAAGTTGACCTTTGCAGTGCTAGAGTAAATAAAAATTAATAAAATGTGAATTGAATATCTATCTTCACTACATCAACAAAACAATTCTGTTCATTCCAACAAAATTATTTTTCATAGACCTTAGCCTCATTCATCTCCAGTGAGTATGCACAATGAAATGAGTTTGAAGTTTAGAGGGAAAATTTCATATAAAAAAAAAATCGCTGTATTTTGTGAGCCCATGCCATCAGTTGGTGCCTTGGTTCAGAGAAATGCAGGAAAAGGTATTTGACCATACCAAAACAGGGCTGTCATTGAGGGCTGGCACAGCTGGGGATTCCCCCCAGCTACTTTCTTAAGAAAATAGAAGAAAAACAGAACCCACAGAAATCCCTAGCTGTTTGATTCCCTGCCTACTGTTGCATTTACCCTGCAGACACTTGAAATCTTAGTGACAGCCCTGCTAAAAGTAATGTAATGCACTGCTACAAGTGATGTATAACTGTGTAGTTACCTTGCCAAAGAAAGCACACACTTCAGGGGAAGGTTGAACATACTCCAGAACAGGTGCAAGTGTCTTAAGATAAAGAAAGAAGAACCACAAAATAAGAAATTCAGACAACAAGAACAATATCAAATGATGAGTAATGGTATTCAAAACAAACAATTATCCTAACAGCATACAGTGCACTACTCTGCCAGCACAATAATACTAAAAAGATTGGTTAGGGAGATTTCAAATAACCAGAATGCGAAACAATTGATCGGCCACAGTGAATCACTGCGTGCTATGGAAAGAGTCATCTTTTGCCAAATTGAGGCTTCTGAAGGAAAGACATTTTACTCTACCAAGAAGAAAAATAACCTTTCAAAGCACACTTATAACACAAAAAATTGTGGGGGAGGGGAGGGAGGAGGTTACAGGGGAGTCCAAACTTCCCACGTCTCGTACAGTGTACATGAACTTTGCACTCCCCGCTCCTTCCTTATTTTTCTTGGCTTTTTCCCTTTAGCCCTTTCTCAATAACAAAATATGAAGCACTGTTGCATAATTTCCCCCTATTTCTACAGCCTTCACCCATGCACTTTCCTCTTCTGCCTCCCAACCACTCCTGCCCCCTATTTTCTTGGGCTCACACCTCCCTGTCCTCACCCGCACAAGTTATAACTTTTTGTTTTGGACAACCGGTACATTGAATTTCTCTTAATTATTACTATAATTCTTTTGTACATTAGGATGGTATTTTATACCATTGAAAAGTATTTCACCAGGTACCCAAACATTTCAAACTCAGCCCTGAGGAAACACTCTTGCTTGTGTTTGATATTATGTCAATAATACATATGTAGCTTACCACTATGAGCTTTTCTTGTTCTTCATCAGAAAATGAAATAAAGTGCTGCAATTACAAAACAGACAACTTACATTCAGTTTAGGTCATCAGCCTATCCAAAAAGCTTTTTACAGGTGAGCATTTTAACACGATACACCAATATATAAGTTATAACTCAATGAGAAATTAAGGTAAACAATAATGAGAATCAGGCACAATGTAAATTATTTTTCTTTAAAAGTCAATAAATCCACACATGGCTAACCAAAGCATTAGTGTATTTCATGCTTTACACGAGTAAAGGAAGTAGTAAAGTTTGCCAAAGAAGTTGACCCCGAGTGGTCATTCAATTGACCATTTTAAATCAAGATAAATGAAAACAATAACAACTTTTACATTTTACACTGAAGAAATAAGGAACCCAACAATAAATAGACTCTGACAAGATCATTGCTTTTTGGCTGAAGACAGAACACATCAACTTACATGTGCAAGGATATCAGAAACCAATTCCAGAGGAACCGTGAATATTACATCATCTTGAATTGGTGTTGTTAGTGAGAAAAGAACAAGCTCCTATTCATGAGAAAACATAAATACATTTCAAACACATGGTTATTTTTTTCGGCTCAAGTAGCTCAAGTTGTAGAGATGAAAATTTAATTCAGGTTAAAGTTTTTATTCTGGTTGAAAGACTGACTGACTGATTCAATGATTTACACAATGTACAGTACTGCTCAAAAGTAAGTTACCACACTCTCGCGAGATGCGCATCGCGTCATGCGCTATGGGATTCTTGTAAAGTCCATGTAAACAGTTTGCTGATGACAAGCTCAAGGAAAATTTCCTTTAGGATACTTAAAATAACGTAAAATCCAATGCCCGTTTCTTCAGTCTTCGAGATAAAATGGTGCAAAATTTGTTGGTTTCTCTCTGGACGGGTCATTGAAAATGTTAATGCCAAAACTTGCTGCATCACTGATTCTCATGCTACGCGATTCACGTACCATCTCAAGGTCTACAGCAAGATGGCTTTCCTCAATCATCATTGGTCAAAATTGCTCCTGTGAATCTTTGCAAATTGCTCATACACGTAGCACGCAACATGACTGTCCTCGTGCAGGAAACGAGATGTGACTGGCAACTTACTTTTGAGCGGTACTGTACATGTACAAAACGTTTGCCCATGCAGGCAGAGGGTATCAAGATGTGAAGGTAGTCACAGAATTATATAACTCTGATTGCCAACTGAGTTCAGGTGTTCAGCATATACAATAAATACAAGATAATTCTTACTCTGAGTTCCCTTGTCAGAGCTTCAGGGTCACTGGATTTTGATATAAGCCTTTTGTACCTCAACAAGTTAACCTGCAAATTCCAGAAAAAAAAAAACATAATAAATTTCTTTTGCTCATAAGCATTTATACAAACAGTGATGTCAGCAAAGATTAACCTATAATGGTCACCTCCTCACAGCAGCCACTGAGAGAACATACATTAACCCTAGCTTTAATCACTCTAAAATAGCCATCTTTCCACAACATCAACAGTGCATTCTGCCTACATTAACTTGCGATAAAGTGTTCTTTTTTAAAGTAAAAATAATCTCTCCAAATACCATTTTTACAACCTTTCATGTACATTGTACCTACATTAAACTCTTCCACAAGATGAACTCAGGAGTGGGTGCCTTAAAGGTAGAAGGGCCTATAGTACAAAAGGGGAGCATTGCCTTGGAGGTAACCATGGCAACCAAGCAACCAACCAGTCAGCACCACCACACGGAAACAGTTCAGTGGAATACTTACCACAACCCATACTTACCTATTCAGGAGTGGGAGGAGTGGGAGCAAAAACCAGCAAATATCGCAGGTTGTGAATCGTAATGATCGACAAAGATCAGCAAAGCAAAGCAGAGCTGAGATACTGTATTCAATCACATGTAAGCCCCTGCAGACCCAGTGGCCATCCCGCAAAAGCCCGCCTGCCTGGGGCTCAACCGCTGACATGCTAGTGTTGTCTCAAGGTTAACCTTGCCTAAATTACAATTTAGCCAGATTAAAATATCCACTGTGATAATATAACAGCCGCCTGTCCCTAAGATGGCCCTTGTGGTGAGGTTGGCTCATATTGTAATTCTACTGCAATATCAAAAATTAAAAAACAAATATACACAGCATATGGAAACATACCTTCCATTTTAATGAGTGTAACCACTGATCTCTCAAATACGCATTAGATGCCTGCAACATATCAATAACATTGCTTCAATATTGCAACTAAAGTACTACTCAAAAGTTACCACCTAGCTTCTCATGAGACAAGAGTTGAGATTCTCATCTCATGAAACAAAAGCCTACATGTAAACTCTCATCTTCTGAGGGGGGTTGAAAACACATTTAATTGTAGAAATGTCAAGAGAAAATGGAATTATACTGCTACATTATCAATCAGGATGTCTGTAAGAGAATAAACCATAGCCTTAATTAACCATACATTTTACTATTTCGGGAAGTAAAGCCGTTACATGCTGTAAAAAACAACATCAGCTTCCAACATCAGCTTCCATCAGCTTCTTACAACAAGTCAATGCAAAATTCAAAATTCAAAGTTTTGGATGCCAGTAAACTGTTTTTTTTTCCCTGACTGTTAAATGCTCAAAACATGGTTCAAGTTATCAATGGTAAAGTTTTATAGAAATGATCTGAAGGGAAAAAAAGTTAATTCAAGTTAGCGGGAGGTTTGACTTATGGAGGGTTCGAGTTCAGCGTGCAAAGAAAGTGCTATCGGGCTAGTGAATTCTGTTTTTAGTTTGCCTGACAGGCAAGTGATGTTTTTTGAGGAATTCGAATGACAGAAGAACTGTGAAATCAATTCTGCTAATCAAGAAGTTTTTGGGCTAGTTGAAATGACATCTGGGCTAGTAAATGCTAGCTTCAGCTTGTCCGAATGGCAAGCTGTAAAAATGATTTTCTTTGCACCTTGTGAGTTGCCGAGTGTAAAATTACAGTAAATGTATGATCAAGGAAATCCAGGGGAAATCAATAATTACTTTGGTTTCAAGTTAGCACAAATTTCGAGATATAGGGAGTTGACTACTCAAAGGCGTCTTCCCAGTTTTTGCTGACTTCACAACAAAAACACTTGTATGCATGACTTTTCCAATCAATGACACTTTTGACACTTTAGACTTCCCATTCTTCAAGTAAATGTCCATTAAAGAACAACACAGTTGTCATGTTTAGTTTTGTATGAAACCTTTAAGGACATACATGCAGATGCCATAGACATTTTTTCTTTCTTGAGGGGAGGTTTTTTGGGGGTGGGTGGGGGGAGGGTAATGAATATTTTTACCCACTAGGGGAGTGTTAACTAGAAGGGGGAGGGGCACTAGCCTCCCCGCAGACGCCCTTTGGGGTTCGTTTGTCACGCATTCACGAACCCCAAAGGACATCTGCTGGGAGGCTAGAGGGGCACTTGCTTCAAAGAGGGTGATAATTTGAGCACTTAAAGTACAAACAGCACTGACCTTGAGCAAGACAGAGCCATCGGGAATTGTAACTCTAATACAAAAGTGTTGTCCTGTGTCCCATCTGTTGACTGTGTAGGCATCCTGTATTTCTTGGTAGGATAATGGGCATTCCATAAACCCTACACTCTAAAGAAAAAAACAAACCAACAAAAATCTGTAAAGCTGGAGCCAAACAATCATGTTATTTGGTAATAGTTGATGGGGGTTTTAACAAACATTAGCCATTATAAACTATCATGGGTAGTGTTCTTACCAGGATTTTTACTTGGTAAGCACCAGGGCCACTTCTACTGGGGGACAAAGGTATTAATTATCAGCATACATAACAAGAACCACATGCAGCCACGAGAATTACACGTTTCAACCCCTTATGAGTTTCTGGTATAACTCATTACAGCTCAACTGAGCCATTTAACATAATCTTAGCAGGAATCATAAAATTATGCTGTCATAAAATAGATGCAAATGCTATACTAAGTCTTTGGCTCCATGTGTAAATCATGTTTTTCAAAAACTCATCGCTAAAAAAAAGCTAAAAATGCCCTGCATTTGCTTGTAAACCAAAGGGAGGATTTGACACTACATAGAGAGGCACTGAATAGTGTTCTCCCTAAATTTTAGCTCAGCAGGTAAGAGACCATTCCTGACCAGTAAGGCCACAAAATCCTGTCAACCAATTGACCGAAAAGTATTTTACACACGTCAAAACAAAGAATTATTTAATTTTTACAAATGAAGGCTGCCTTTGCTGCTCCATGTAGGGTCAATTTAGTAACACAAGAAGCGGAAGTCACAAACTTTTCCTGCTGGTCGTGAAAGTCTAGAATTGGGACAGAAGCCCATGAAAAAATTGCTAGTCAGAGAGAATAGTTGTGTATACTTTTTTCAGCATTTAGTTCCTGTTTTGGTGAGGATCGACTATTATAGTGGTCCTTAAAATACATGTAATAGAGACTTCCTTTCTCATCACTGCTGATCACTGTGAGCACGTGTCCAACAGTGGCCTATCTGGTAGTTAGCTGGATGTCACTTTTGGCTTCAATACATTTTTATCTGCTTATGTTTGCTCAATAATATCATTTATTATGAGATCTTCCATTCAAGTTTCACTGCTGTCGTCCATGTTTCTCCAAACACATTAATTTTTACTCATGTATTTTTATACCAGTAACAGAAAATCTATCTGAAAAATATGCCACACGTAGATTTGTTAATTATCACTTAAAAGGTGCAGAGTAAACACTGAATAATTTATTGTTTCTGCAACAGAAAGCTGCCCACTCAAGTTTGAGGCCTTTACTAGTCAATATTTCTACTGGATGTATTACATAGCCGATATTCTATGTTATAAACTCAAGAAGGACTAATTCATAATATTTTTAAATAATTTATTTCAAGTAAACTTTTTTGGGGGGGTTTCAGGAGACAAATTAAAGCAATGCATCAATAAGACACTGTAATAGAAGTGTACTTTTGGAGATGGGAGTGTTTAAAAAAAAAAAATATTCAAACTTGTGAATAATCCCCAAAGAAGATAAGAGGAAGCATAAACAAAGGCAAGCCCATTACACATTTGGTTTCTTAATGAAAGTAAAGGCAAAAAGTGCCAAAGTATAGTAATTAAATAAAAAGTCATCCACCATCGTCAAACAAGTCTAATAAAGACAGATTACAACTGCCAAATTTTCACAGATATACAGACTTATGTCTCCATCTTTCATTTTAAAAGCAATTATTAAGTCTACAGCAGAATACCGGTAATACAATTATTCAAATTTTATTTTTATGAGTTGCAAGAAGTTAATGACATTTTTTGATCAATTGTGATAAATAACAGATAAAGTAGCTAGCTGGCAAAGCTTTGAAATTCTATTTTGTCATTGACACAAGGCCAAATGTTGAAAAGGCCTATTTATTTACAACAGATGGAACCACCGCTGACAATCTCCTCCTTACACAGTCTGATTAAATAACAGTGACAATGGTTTTTGCAATAAAATGTTGGAGGTACAGTAACACTTTTGTTGCAAACAAACGGTTTCAATTCTTTCTACCACTGAATTGCCTTTTAAAATGATTTGCTCAAAAATATGATTAACCTTAGACAAGCCCAGATGTACATGTAACAATGCTAATATTATTGGAAGTTAGCATTAACTACAATTTATGGATGTATAATGTAAAAAAAAAAAACAGTTGAGAGGATTTGGACGTCCAATAATTTTTCTAAGAGTTTTTTTTTTATTTCTTGGAAAGAGTGACAACAGTGTGTAAGGCTTCAGTTAATTTGAAGAACAAGATTTCAAACCTTGTGATTTTTGTGTAAATGTGAAATAACATTTTAGTGATGCACAAAATAGTCAGCCAAACAGGTTAAGAAATACACTAAATTTGGTGTATGTTGTGCCAAATGTAAATACATGTATATGACTCCTTTCAGTGCAGGGGGTCATTTTGACTCCAGTTAAAACGTTTTGCCCAGATTAATTGCATTCAAACATTCATAAAACTGACAAAATCCTAGTGACTACATGTAGGTACAAAAAAGGCAATACCACTGTATAAAAATGTCCTTGTGAAATGAAGTTTCTCTATTGCTGTTTCATTTTTGTTGGTTCTGAACATGTTCTGTATATAGTTGCCATTTTAAAATAATGTAAATGTCTTTGGGCAAAGGCCTCTGGTGCAATGAATTAGTAACCTTGACAATGCGGAACGAAGCGACCAATGGGGGGTGTCAAATTGACTTAAAGGGCAAGAGAAATTTGCAAAAGGAATACAGGATACTCTACAAAAAGGGCACAAAGAGCCAAAGGTGACTGTAATTTCATGATTGCAAACCAACTGAATCCAAAATTCAGTCCTCTCTTAATAAACATAGACAAAGGCAATTTCAAAATAATTGCTTTATGATCTATGAACTTGCCCCTGAACATTAACATGACCTCTAACTACTCTTGACGTAATAATCATTAATACAGTTGACCCTCCAGTATTGGCCACCCCTGCACAATGGCCACCACCCTAAAACAGCCCCTTTTTTGGCGGACAATCCATTGACTCTTGTTTAAGCCTCTCTACAAAGGCCACTTTCTTCTGTCCCCAAGGTGACTGTTATGAAGAGGTTCAACTGTAATTTACTGTATTAAACAGAACACTGCTAATGAACAACTGTATCATCAGGAAAGTTCAGAGAAAAAATTTCCTCTTGTCAACTGCTATATTTTCCTTTCCAATTTCCCCACTTTCGTGTCTTACAAAAACGACAAATTTGACACAGGATTGAGTCATCTGTGCATACAATGTACTTTTCCAGGACCTTTAAGACATACAGCACTCTTCCAGGACTTCTTAAAATCCACAATGTATCTGAGCATGCCAATCATGTGTAGATAACATTTCCAAAACAAACATTTGAGATTTAACAGTATTTGTGGCATGACTTTCCACTTCAATGACAAGTACTACAATAATTATGGACAATTATGCTATTTGCTGTTTGTGTCTGACTAAACTACATGATTGCATTCACCAACGATCAAAACAAACCTACAAGTAGGAAAACTACATGATCTTGACCATAAAAATGCATGAAACAATAGACATGTGAAATACTGCGTGGCACAAAAATTTTTGCGGGTTATCTTTGTGATTTTTCCTGCAATCCACAAAAATAAGTTCCCACACATAAAAATTACTACAAACATCTTTCCTAAAAATTGACACCAGAGTAAATATTCTCTAACTTAAATTTGCTGCACAAAAATACCATACTAAGAAATCATGTCTGTTCAATATTATAACTTGTCTCTTTCATTCAGAAACAAAAATGGTATTTTACATAGGGTAAGCACACTGTAGTATCATTTGAAAATACATGTATTTCTGTTGCACATACTCAATAAAAACAAAAAATATTATCAACTTGCTGGATCGCTACTTTCTGAAAATCACAAAAATTAATTACCAAGCAGCAAGAAAAACCAATCTGTCCTTATTCACAAAATTAGTTCCAGCAAAACACAAAAAATTGCCAATCTGCAAAAATAAACTCCCGCAAGAATTTTGTGCCACAAAGTAAAATGAGGTACGACTACTATAAGCTGTAACAAAGCCCTAAAAATCTCAACACAAGTCCTGAGTTTTATTTATTGATATCAACAAAAAGTTCAACTTTTTAAACAAACAAAACAAATGGATTTACAGAAAAATTAAAATAATACACAATAAATTTTCAACAAAATTTCAAGTGCAAGTTTAATAGGCAAACAAGCAAGTGAATTAAAAGCAGATGAGGAGGGAAATAAAAGAGCCCAGCCAAAGTGGTTTTGCAAAGTGCATAAAATTATCATGCACACTAGCTGCAGACAGCTTGTCAAATCCTTTCCCAAAAAAGGGCAATAACAGTTATGAAAAAGCACAACCCTGCTATCGACCTTGTGCTTTATCAGAAAATCCAATTTAATCAAAATGTGGATTTACTGATGGATTTTAATAATTCTCTCTCACGGCCAGGGTCACAGGGATTGTCTCTAGCTTCTGTATTATATGAGCATGAAAACTGGCAGGCTTCTTTCATAGGAAACAAAAACAAAACAATTAGAAATAAAAGAACTTCCTACCTATCCAACTGCCTACTAATAATTAAAATTGCATATTCTATACTCGGCAACTTGAAATCTTCATGGCAGCAGCATCTTTCTATCTTAAATTTACATTCTGTTTTCAATACAGTAAAAGCCCGAATATAAGAACCTAGAATTTTCGAGGTCAGGCTGAACAAATGTTGTGCATGTATTCAGTAACTAAAGAAAATGTCTGATGGATATGCATTGCTCTGCAGTGCATAACATAGTTGTTTTTATTAACATACATTGTATCTATTGTTTCCTTATAAATAGTACTAAAATGGCAGGTAAACAAATGTTTTGGGAGGGACCATTTGATCATTTGAGTGCAAGTTACACCAGGTCAACAATGATTTGCATGTACTATTGAAGTTTATACACAAAATGAAATAATATGAAGGCCAGGCTACTGGCAGATGAAAACAAGGAAACATCAGCCCGGTTTATTGAACACGGACATAAAAAATCGTAATATAATTTTAGCGTGCTATTGTTTCAAAAACTGTAGATGTATACTGAGATCCATATAAAAAAGAAGTCGACTAATCCACACAAGAATGGCATAGCTAAGGGCTTTACTCTCCGTACGGTTTAAAATCATACGCTTTATTATGTAAACAGAAGTGATCTGCAGTGCTTTTTGGCAGAAAGGAATTATCTTGCCCTTAACCACTGCGATCTGAGAATCAAACTATTCTTCTCATCTTTTAACCCTTAAGTTCCAATATTCGGATAGAAAAAGGCTAACCACTAAACTTAAGCTTACGTCCTCAACAAAATTTTACGTAAAAGAGGTAAAAGTACTTGTCTTAGTTGAGTAGTGATTGCCTTGTCGCTTCAAGAAACCCTTAAAAAGGATTGTATCAAAAACATTCTCACATCTAAAAAGGCAACAAAAAGGTACATGTGTATTTCTTTTAATGTCCGAAAGCTTCAATCTCATTTTCGATCTTGCAATGTGAACGGACCAATCTTAAAGGAATAGCGACTTTTAGCAGTATAAAACAGGAAAACCAAAGCTTGTACATATCACGAAAGGCCTCACGAACAGAGAACGTTATTTCCTCTATATTAATGTCGCTTACAGAGAGGATTGCGAAATATTTACGACCAAAAAAAATATATGACATAAAAATTCTCGAGAACACACAGGGCTTAATAAAATAAAGACGCTGGCTAGAAAAGCTCTCGTCCCGCTTTTGTAATTCTATTTAACTCTCCGATTTCCCAGGCAGGACTTCGCCCGAGGTAAAATTCAAGTTCTCGCATTCCTTTCCAGGTTTTTTTTACTGGGTTTGTTGAATTTGCGACATAGCCAGCGCCTCTAACCATACTTTTAATAAATTCAAGTCTAGATTAAGATAAGAAAATGGCGGACGCCCGATTATCAGCCGCGCGAGCGGCAAATTGACGATTCGACGTACACAAACTAGCTAGCTATTATGACTTCCTCACTTACCGTTGCCGAATACATCTGAAAATCTCCCAAATAAACATGGTGTGCTTCCCATCTCCTCAAAAATTTAGAACTCAACACTTTGCTGATTAAAGTTCGGCTATGGTTCAATCGACAAACTTGGATATCGCCTTCGTGAATGAGTTTAAATTTCGGTCCACCGCCTGAACTACAACGCTGTGGTCTTGGAGGCCGCTGAGTTCCACCACCGTTTGTAATCGCCACAGCCATGGCTGTGTGGATTGCCAAGGCGTCTGAAAGTAGGCTTACAGACTAAAAGATGAAAGACGGGCAAAGGTCTCAGCCAAAGGAACAGTTGTTAGTCCATGAACGAGTGTAAACATTATCAAACAGCGACTTTGCAAGCAAGCGGCTCGGCGAAGAGAATGGTCTTTTAGTCTGATGACGTCACAGCTAACCGAGATGATTGACGTCGAATAAATGATTTTTCAACAAGAATTTTGTGCCAATTTTAATTTCCTTCCACCAGTATTTTTCACCGTATACAAAACCTGAACGTTTTTGTCAGTTCAGTCCATTAATTAAAACAATCGTTGAACCAAGCACTTGCTTGCTAAAACCGCTGTTTTTCGTTAACAACACCTAAAGAGTTTCTATTATCTAACGTCAAATATCGGCTATGAGAGAAGTCAGCCGTGCGGGGTAGATCTGCAACTGTCAAAAAGGCTTAAATTGTGAAAAGCTGGAATATCTTTAAGGTTAACAAACCAAAAAGATGCTCAGGCAATTAAAAGGTAAAATGATCGGGTTTTTTTTATTCCATGTTATAGAAACATTATTTCATTTTTCCGCGGTAGTTGAGATGAAAGTTGAGAGAACGGAAGAAATAAATTTTAGCCACAACTTCGAGCTTTCGACTTCAGTGGAATATCAGGAAAGTCGTTTGAGCGGACGTACAAGATTTAGAGAAAAATAAAGACGGTAATATTATGAAGAGAAAGTCTTCACTGAAAGATAATTTTAGTCTGAATAAATTATCCTCTCATTGGCATAGAAATGAGACTTAAAGAGCCAGATGTTTTGTAAAGATTAGTTTTTGGTCCTAAAACACGAATCTTAAAAACAAAGCAAAAAGTTTGAAACTTTAGGCGACCGGAATGCCCATTTTAACGCAAAAGTTTGACTAAAACAGTTTTCTCGCGGACCATAAAGGATTCAGCGAAAAAAATAACGGACTATCCAAAAGAAAGCCGTATTACTCTGAACTATCCCAGCTTGCAGATCTGGAGTTCGTCCAAACAATATATCGGCGATAATTTCAAGGCAGCGATTGAAAGAGCTGGAGCTCTATTGAGCAGCTGATTTCGACTCTCATTAGCGTCGAAGCTTTCTCGTTTGACAAGCAATTTGCATATTCAGAGCTTTCAGGTTAATTCACTGGCTTAGGTTTTTTCAGTTCACGATAAAATAACGTTGAAATAATTGCTCTTTTTTTTCTTACTAGTGATACAAATCTTTTCTAGAAGACAATCGTTTATTCTTTGATTTTTTTTCGCGTTCAACCTGGCTATCAACATACCAGAAAACATTAAAATAAGGACGATATGAAATATTATTGGTTTCGCACACGGCCGATCGCGATAATTTTTTTTTGGTCATATTAGTGTTTTCAGGCAGCCTGAGGCATATAGAATTTGTTAATGTTTGGGGGCGACTGTAGTAGATCTCGAATGAGCAAATCGAATGGCTACTTAATTGATTTCCTAATCCAAAGGATTATGATCATATATATCTTAATCTGAACATAAAACCAATTCGTAGTATTTTAGCTTTCTCTTCAATACAGCCGTCTAAAACTATCGACTTCCTTTGGTCTGATCTCGCTTTTTTCAGTAGCAGGAATGTAGTTGGCAGATTTCACTGTCCGAAGATTATGTGCTTTTTTAAAAACCACGAAAAAAGAACATCTTTATTTCTCGCTCAGTTTACTCGAGCAATTATAATTCCGTATATGAGAGCGCAGCAAACCTAGACTGCAATTTCTTTACAGACAATAGATTTTACAAAGACTTTGTATTGTATTTGCAATGGCTAAAAGACTTCCTTATAAACAATTCAGTAAAATATGCTTTCATTAAAAGAACCGCTAAAACTATATGCTTTTTCCATCTTTTTTTGACGCTGCTGCTGGGGGCATCCGTACTCTTTTATAAGCCAACAAAGTTCTTCATTGTACGACTCAAAATTTGAGTTAGGTTGCCGGCGGCAAGGCAGATCAAAATTGAAAACCGCTGAAAGCTCCTCAGTTAATTTTCACATACAACGTTCCCTTTCAGAGGAATCAATATTTTGATATATTAAACTTCTTTTTAAATCCTCGTTATACTCCGTTCTCACTAGCTACGCAGTTTCGGTCTCTCCTTTTGGTTTCCGTATGAGACATTCAGCATGTTTTTTATGCCAACAGTTTTTTTTTTGTCCGTTATATGGTAGTTACATAGCAACTGAGAAAAGAAAAAGCGGTCGTACAATATTTGTTCATGATGCCCACACGAGCCGAGAGTGTCAACTGCTAGTTAAATTAGAATAGAATCTCATGCAAAAATTATTTCTTCATGCTGTTTCGATACCACCCCAACGTCTTTATGGGAGGGTGATTATTTTCTGCGGTACCCCGCGCACATACACATGGAAACTACTGCGAAGCAAGAATTGTTTTAGCGATCAGAAACAATATAAGCCCCTCACACGGCGGTCAAATACGGCAATCATACGCGAAGAAAGCGCATGTAATAATCCCACCTTTATGAACGTTTTGAAGATCTACACCTGTGCTTATTCAAAGCGTTATAGCACGGGCTACTGCCGTACAGTTTCTTGTTTGTTTCCTTGTTTCTGACAAAACCGAATGCAAAGATGCAACACTGACAAATGGCCACCAAACTTTTAGTCAATACACTGATCAAAAAAGACTCTTTCAAAGGCTTTATATATTATAGAGTCTGTTGTTATGATACGAGGAGTGATTGTTTCGAATAATTCGCGGTGTTCACTTCACCTTATTGCCATCTTTGCAGTTTTGCATACAGGTCTGGTTATTTGAGTTTTCGACATTACCTAAATTTGTTGCTTCCAAAAACAAGCATGCGCAGCGAACACTTTATAGTCCAAGGTAGAAAGTTAGGCTTCATCCGCTCGACGCTTATCCGTTTTGGTTTATCCACAGTACATTTTACATTTCCGCTTGAAAAAGCGTTCTATTTTATATCGATACCCGGATGTTGACTACCATCGATTTATAGTGAAAAAAATGCATGAGTATTAACGTGACGTAAAGTTATGATGCCTCAAAACGGTAATGTGCGTGGGGTCTGGGAAGAGCAAGCTGAAGCCGCGAACGAACATGTAGTCTCTTCCGCCACTGTTTTTCTTTCTTCAAGTTTCGATAGAAACCAGTGAGCGATTATCCATCCACACTACTGGAAAGAGCGCCTTTAAATTAGAAACTCACTAAGTGTAAAGGAGATAAGTCCGAAGCGAGCGAAGATATTGCTCTACACGGCGGTCCGGTCTCGAAATTTTAGACTTTTCTATGGTGGGGGCCCCGTTTGTACGTCTGTACGTTTGTACGTCTGTACAAATTCCCCGATTTTGCGGATTTACCGTATTTCCTCGAATAATAGCCGTCCCTCGATTAATCGCCTCCTTCGAATAATCGCCCCCCAACTCCTCTCGCCATTTTCTCTTTCTTCCCTGTCAAGTTATTAACTGACACCTTGGATAACAAAGAAAGCTGCAGTGGAGTCCGATCAACAGCAGCAAAACTAATCGGTGACGATTCAAGCTCTGACGTCGAGGATACTGACACTGGAAATTAACCAAAGAACCAAATTTGGATACATTGAAAATATCCATCGACAGATAGGAACGGAGAGTTTTTTTTTGGCAAAAATACTCATAGCCTACCTTACACGCGGCATGTGAACTTCAGGCAATTAAATTAAAACAGAAGCATATAACCCTGCTTCTGATTAAAAACATTTGTAGTCAATTCTTTCGAAAACGATTCTATCTCACCGTGTTCGTTGTTAAAATTAGCACTTATATACTAAATAAAAATTGGTGACTTGAGGGAGAGACGTGTTCATTTTGAAGAGAAGCAGTCGACATTTTTAAACGTAATAGCGAAAGGAAAAGAATGCAGGAAGTAGCCTGTTAGCCTGTTCAAATACCAGCCGTTTTCAGATGCGCGGGTGTTCCTTCCTGCGCATCACTTTTTAAGTCCGTATCCTCAGTTAAGCCTTCTGTTACAGTTACTTAATTATATTTTAATCCTCGTAGTCTTACAACTGTACAGGATGCTAAAAGAATGTCAATAAAAATACATTTTACAGGATATCGTACTGCACACTTACAAATTTACAACTGGCTAATGTACACACATATTATAATCCAAAAGATACTAGAAAAAAACGGTAAAAATAAATATATATAGTTCTAAGATGAGGCAGTTTTAAGCGTGGTAATATGAAATAACAGCGGCACTGTAGCAACGTCACGTAGGTCGATTTCCTCTATTATAAAAGCTGTAGAATTTTAGTCCGCAAACACAAAATACTGAACAATATATGAAATATACCTTCTAGTTTCACCAGGAGCACAAAAAACGCATTTTTAAAGCCAGGACATAAGAAACAAGCCGGTTAAGTTCCCCCGGGGGTACTTCCTACAATCGTCTACACGGGGAAGCTCCGCCCAAAAGGGGCACTTTTTAGGCTTCAGGTATATAAAAGGGTAGGGAATTCAATAGTTGAAGTATATGAAAGGGTAGAGATATTTTTCGGTCTGGAAAAAGGCCCGTAAGGGCTGAAAGATGGATTTTGTAGCTGTGAAAAAAGTCAAGAAAACTTGCTAAAGCCGTTTAAGTAGATGCAAAGTAAGTCCAATACTTCGAAGGTATGAGAAAGAGGTGGCATTTGTCAATAGAACTGTGTAAGAAAGCGGTAAATTTTCTGCCGGTCAAAAATGAGGTATAGAAGAGAGTAAGGGTTGGGCCTCAGGGCGGAGCCTCCCGGTTTGTTTGGTAATGATACCCTCTCCCCCCGGACGTAAAGCATAAGCATTAAGCATATCGTGCACTTAACTACGGCTGATCCAATATATAAAGTGGACACGTCAATCAAATCTTAAGTGATTTAGATGAAAACATTGCTAGTAATTAATATTTTCGTAGCAAACTGACATTATCTTATGAAAAATTTACTAATTCGGAAGAGGTTTTACAATAAGTTGAAAGAAAAAAAGTCACAGTTGATTTTGATATAGGAAATATTTTGTCTAAGAATTAAAATTATACACGCATATTACTATATTGAATGGAAACATCAGTCACACCTGGGAAGACTTCAGAGGAAAATTCATGCTAATTTTCAAAACTTTCAAAGAACACGTTACTTTATTATAGAAAACACGCAACACCTGCTCCCAGATCGGATGATTTTACAATTTGTTGAAAAATAAAGAGCGACATCAACTTGCTCTATGAAATGTCAAGTCTAAGAACTTAATTGAGCCTACTAGAATTAGAACGCATATAACAGTATTTAATTTCTTGTTATTGAGGATAAGAGACGGCCTCGAGATAAAGCCTGGTTTTCATATGTCGGGAAAATCCAAGACGATCGGGGATTTTACTTTTCGCTGACCGTCCCAGATATATCGGATAATCGCCACAAGTCAGACTCAGATTCTCCCGATGAATTTGGCCGGAAATGGAAAGTGCGCCAAAAATTGAAACTTGCGTGATAGGGGGACTGGAGCCCAGCAATTTATAGGAGATTGGTAATGAGCGAAATCCATCGCCAACGTCTCCGACGGTACAAATTTGAGTTTTGATTTGTCGGGAATGATCGCCGACCATCGCAGAAATCTGGGATGCGTCGCGGGAAAATAGGAACACTCCCGATTCTCCAGATTTGTCCCCGTCCATCCCGGATTATCGGGCATATCTACGATCGATTTCGAGTTTTCATTAGTCGGCAAAATTTGGGACAGCCGGGAAGCAGTAAAATCCCCGATTGTCTGGGATTTTCCCGACATATGAAAACCAGGCTTAACGGCAAGACCAGTATAGTCTACTCAAAATCATTTTGTTATATCATCTGTAGAAGGACCCCTCTTAAAAGGGTGTTGATATGTGGAATCAAAGTTAGTGGAGGAGACTGGTTATGAAAGTCGGCAAACATCAAAGTTGAAAGCAAAGGTGCTGTAGTTTATGTTGGAAGCTCCCTTCCCGTGGGGGGCACTTTAGGAAATTCTGGGTGGGAATGTGCCGCTGGGACCCTCGAACCCTTGACCTATACCAGAGCTAGTTCAGCTGAATTTTGCTTCCCTATACTAGAGTAAACTCCCAAAATCCCCCTATCCTAGAGTAGCTGTTTCCCCAGTCTAGATAAAATCTTCAACCAACTGATCAGTTTCCTGAAAAATGATACCCTATTCTAGACCCAAACGCCCTACACATTTCCAGCAAATGATTTTTTTTAGTACTTTAGATGCAGTCAGCAAAAAAGAATACTCAAACATATAGATTTTAAACTTTGTTTTAAACTACTCTTCCCCTCTGACCGAATCCCTTAGACTTAACCAAATTTACCTTTGTTGTAAAACCATTATAACGCAAGTATTACACATAGACTAAAGTTAATTATTGCCCCCGAAATCCAGAGGAGGCACTCTTAGACTAGTAACTCGCGCGTATATTAAGGAAAGTACTTACAGTTGAAATATACAGTGAGTATGCCAGAAAAAAATCTCGATTTGCTTGAACAGGGGCCGCGAGGAATTGGTAGGTAATGATGACGTTTCTATTGCTTACGCCCGCAAGTACGAAATGGTTAGGATGTCGTAAAGACAGAAAATCCCGAAGGAACCGCTTATGTAGATTTTGTAACATTTATTGTGCAGTCATACTTTGTGTTACGTGTTATCAGTGACATCCAGTGGAGCAGTTGTTTGAAAGTTATGGACCAAAAAACACTCGTTAAGCGCAGATGAAGTTATAAGGTGCGTATAACTATGTATATAAATAAACTGTGTATATATATAAACACTTAGAGAGTTTGCCAGACACAAGTTCACAAATCAGACTCTCTTTCTCTCTCTTTAACCGGAATAAGACTCAGCCCCAAACAAGCAAGACGAGTGGATCAACGGCTAGCTTATCACTAGCAGAACAATGGACGATTACAGAAATTCGCCGACAATCAGATTCTGTGCTGACTCCCTGCTCACAGAGATGTCCTTCCGCTATAAAGTTTAAAATAAGACTAGAATGCGCGAACGCGTGAATTGATCAAACGTCCCTTTAATTTCTAAGGCTAACTTTCCGGCAATGAACTGAATGTTAAAAGTGAAGGGGAAATAGCGAAAAATTCGACTTCTAATTAAATCTTTTCTTATGGTTTAGTATAAACTATTCTCGAAACTGAGAAAGTTTTGATCAAAGCACAGGTAGCTCAAGCTGGAAATATGAACATTGGCGAACATCAGCATTGTTGCGTAACATTCGAAATATAAGGATTTGTATGGAAAAAAAACCTATAGTTTTCTTAACCTACGAAAATGAAAGGATTTCAATAACAAACAGCTTAACTTACATAAAATGTGTGTCACGTCTCTCCTGGGTGGTCCATGAGCCGATTTATGGCCGTTTTATGGTTTGTACTGTAAACAGTTTTCTCCCTCTTTAAAGCTGTTTTTATTGAAATCCCTTCATTTTCGTATTTCGAGCTCGGGCTACCTGTGATCAAAGCTGTGTAAACAACTTGGCGAACTGAAACTGTGCATGAGTTGTGCATGGAACCTTAACGTTTCCCGTATTTATCTCACCTATTGTATGGAATATGTGTGAAAATTTTCATTACGGATTGGCATATTTCAAAGAGCTACACAACGAGCAAAAATACTATTGACCGACAATATACAGAGCGGGGGCAGCTGTAGTGTCAACTATCACTAGTGATATTATTTTTTTGGGCTATCGGAATAAACATCACCTGACAATGACGTCACAATAGTTTTAGCTCTAAATTAGCAGCATTTTCTTTAAAAATTCTTTACCCTACCTATGTATGTGTGTGCTTGTCTTCTGTTGTGCGAAGTTTCACAAAAATATATAAGAGGAAATTTTCGTGTAAACTGCACTCGATATCTATATCGGAAAAAGCATACTTTTAAAACTACAACTGCAGAGGTGACACTTTCAACTAAAAACATTTTGCTAAGAAACGGTTCAAAATTTGCCAAAGGGGGCTATGATGGTTTTGAGGGGGTCATGACTTTTGTGGGGGGCGTTGGAAAATTGATAAAAAAAAAAGAGAGAGAAAGAGAGAGAGAAATTAGAAGACGTTAAATTGATCCGACGTTACAGCTGAAGCTAAATTATCTCTCAACACTAGTATCAAGAACGTTGATTCTATTTGTCTTTGGCATACTTCCCGGTCACGTATCAATCATATTGCAGTTTAAAACATCTCAGTTAAAGATCAGCTACATCGCGATTTTTTGGTATTGCTTTTAACCCCGAAACCTCATTGGAATCAAAGAATACTCAAACATACCGTAAAATTCCGAAAATAAGCCCCGAGGCTTATATTTTTCAAAGGCCCTTTCCGAGGAGCTTATTTTTAGAGGGGCTTATATTCGGAGGGGCTTATCGACGGAGGGAAATTTGCGTTTCAAAATCGATTGGGCTAGCCTTATAGCTGGGAATAAATCTACCATTTTTGCTTTGTTTTACTTCATATTTGAGGGCATTTTCCAAGTACAAGCCTCCGGGGGACTTATATTTGGAGGGGCGATTTAACGGAGGTTTTTTTGCGTTATCGGTTTGGGGGGCTTATATTTGGAGGGGCTTATACATGAACGGGCTTATTTTCGGAATTTTACGGTATAAATTTAAACTTTGTTTAAAACTGCCCTTCTACTCTGACCAAAACATTACGTGCTTGTCTTTGGCTTAATTCGCATAACCTGGCGGATGGAATTAAATCGAACCATATAAGAAAATTGGGGCGTTTTTTTCAAGTTCAACGCTTGTGCTTTCGATACATTTCCAGAACTGATTCTGCTTTTTCTTTCCTTTGAGATAGTTAATAGTGTATTTTTCTTTTAGAGAAACTAGTTTGAGAAGAAAGAGAATAAAGAGGCCTTAGATTAAAATTTTTGCCCTATTAGTGGAACTCATCATGTTCGGCAGAACTAATTATAACTCCTTGAAGAACGTTTGGGGCTTAAATCGCCAAAAAAATAGGATATCGTTCAGTCTTGACGTATTGTAGTGCATGCACCGTGACACAACTTGAAAGCGCCACACACAACGTAAATGCCCAATGCGCTTTCAAAATTGCTTGTGTTCCGGAAGGCATATATTTTTTTTCCATCAGAAATATTCGCACTTTCTAATTTTGGCTTGAGAGTTATTTTTAGAGAGGATTAAAGTTTTATTTTTAAAGAAAACTATTATTATCCGTAAGGGCTAGTAAACGTAGCGTAAAAACTCTTCTTGCGCAACCATATATTGATCGTGAAAAACGCAAATTCCACTGATCGGCAATTCGTCAAAACCTTGCAAGTGCTTAAATTTTAGGAACCTTCAACAAGCTTTCCTTTTTGTTTGAAAACAGAAATTTTTCCCCTGCTTTGGCCTATCGTCCACACGTATCCGGTGAAAAGGTCACCGGAAACGCGTCTTTTCAAAAACGCTCTCCAGAGTGAAAATGATGGTTACTCGTTTACGTGTGGACAGACGAAAACGGAGGTTATCCGGAATACCATGATGCCATACATCATTTATTACTAGTATAACGCCTGCTCTGTGAGGGATGCTTTCGTATTGCCATCGTTTTTACTAGCCTGCGAGCAGACGTTTCTCTCTTGCATGCATGACTCTTGCGTTTACGAAGTCCGCGTTCGCGTCGCTTGTCAGTTGCGTAATTTAGTTTGTTAACTACCCGACTGACAAACTACACGTACAGTCACATTTAGCTCGTGAACGCTAAGAGCCATGCGTGCAGTTGTGGTTTATGTGTTTTCGGAGCACAAGGCTCAACTGTACGCAACATGCATTCTTTGCATATATTCACTGATATTTGGGTTTTATCACGCATTTGGTAGGAGCGTGATTATAATGCTGTGCGTTTTGAACGTCAGCTTATAAGTCGATAAGCTCGATATTTTGAATGCTTCTTTTTCTTTTTGCAACAGATCACAGGCATATTTTTTGCTCTTCTTGGATTCGAGGGATAAATGAAAACTCTCGCAAACAAATTTGTATTGCTTGCTCGAAATCCGTGTTTTATAAATTCTTTTCCCGAACTGAAGGAGGGTGATATTGAAAAGTGAAAGAGCGCGATACTGTCAACAGCACCGCGAATCTGTCAACAATAAGATATTTGACCAATCGGAGTATGATACAGGTGCATCATATAACGGAGGTATCAACGACTTGTCTCCTTGCTCCGCCACACTTTCCCCCTCCCTAAGGCCACCGCTCGACTCGCTTCGCTCGCCGATATTTTTCCTATTCGACCCGGTGCCTTTAATTTTTCCCCTGATGCTTTCGATTACCGAACGTTCGATTGACAACGCCGCGATTCACTTTTCGCTGAGCCGCCCGCGGTCTATGGACACCAGAGAAACAGAAAGAACGAGTTTCTTTTTCTTTTTCTGAACTTAAATACAGCCCTTTATAAATCGATTGCAGAAAAATTTTCACCAACATTTGACAAATCGCACTCGGTGAAACAATATAACGAAGTTTGAGACAGCACAATTCACTTTTGAAAACTCACTTTACATTATTTTAAGTGACGCTTTCTCTGCGGTCGTCCTCAGTTGCTCAAGCTCCTCAATACTGAGATTAAGAGTCACGTTTACGGCAAACGGCCGACGTCAGATTCAAGTTGAGAATTTCTCAGAATAGAAAATAAGACGATAAAAACTGTCCAGAACAATTCTTATGTATAAAACTGGCATGAAACGACTTGTTTTTTAGTTGAAGTAATAAACAATTAACAATTAAGGCAAAAACTTCGTCACGTGGTACAAATTCACGTTTGCCTTTTGGCGTAAACTAAACCTTAATCTCTCTAATGTTACGACCGTTCGATCTGGGATTATTAACGTTCGCGCAATGACCTTGGCAATCGAACACGCAAACGTACTAACCACCCTATCAAAAGATAGTCTATACTGTGCGTGCAAGAGCCAAAGATCCCATGCAAGTTCTCAAGTGTTTTCACCGGGTGACAATTAAACATATGCGGCAAGCATAGACTACATAATACAAAGATCAGTTGAACGAATTCCGAGTCAAATGTCACCATGTTTCTTCAGTCAACAAGTCTTAAATCAAGACTGAATTATCTCAACTGACGTCCCAGCAGAAAAAAAAAACTTTCCAAATGCAGTTTAACATGAATCGACTTCGACACTGAAGATTAGCTGGAATGCCTCGGAAAATTTAATAAACATATTTACAGCCATGCCCTGGTCTGGAACTTGAGAATAAAAAATCGCCGACTGTTAAAACTTTACCACTTGACTTTAATCTTAACAGCCGATATAAGGAGGATCAATAATGAATCAGTATTTCGTTGTTTCGGTTACATAACTAACTAATGAAAGAAGAAAACGCTGGAAGTTATTAAAATTCATGAAATCAATACCGACAGCTGAATGATGTCGAGTCTCACCATTTTCTTAACTTATTATTCAAATTGCAAGCTAAAGCTTGTTTCTCCGTTCTTTCTTTCTAAAACGATGTTCCAATTTGTCAGCCCGATTGGGATCATGAGTACTTACTTCGCAGGCTTCACGTTTCTTGTAGAATTTCATGCATAGTCGACAGGACCCGGAAAATCACAGAGCTAGACATTGCCTAAGACTGAATCTAGTCCTGAATATCGATGACGATAGCTGAGGCTTACCTTTGGGTGAAAGGATCATTAGCAGTTTGAACTATCTTTCTTGATGATTGTTCCAGTTCAACACAGTACTAATTTGGGATGCGATATGCAGTTGAACGCTTGCTTCTATCACTATCGGATGTTGAAAGTGACGAGTTTTCAATGGTATCACTTCAGTTTTCCTGTTGTGGGTTTTCGCTTACGTCACAACTCGTCTATGACGTAAATTGCTTGGCGTTTGTCAAAAGATGAGGAAACTCATTCGTGTAGCAAACACAAGATTAGACAAACAAAGCAGTTAAGCTGCTTAAATCCGCGCTTGATCGAATTTACCCAGCTCTCTCCTCATTAAATTCTAAATGATCCCTTTTTATCGAGTGTAAAACTGTCCAGTGCAATGAGGTATATCTTGGGAATAAATAAGAAATTGGACCCTTTCCAAAACTAGTTTTGATTGTTGCCAAGCCACGGCACATAAAAAGTCACGAGACAGAAGAACGTTAAAAAAACACCGACTGCCCTTAAAGATGAAGTAAGACGTCGATATCAGAAGTACAGAATCAAGATGTAAGCCCGTTGTAACTAGGTAACTCTTGTCAATGAAGAGTTCAAGGTTTTGAAAATGTTTGAGATATGTGAGCCAATCTCGCAGCGATATTTTCGCAACCTCTCGTATTGTACGTGATTCCTGCTTCGTTGTTCCGTCCTCGAAAATACATTTTGACCATTAAACACTGAATGAGGCTATGACTATTACTAACTTGTCATTTACAAGGTGAGATAAGGTTTGTTTCAAGATTGTGGTATTTACCTTCTTTTAACCCCAAATTGCCTTTAAAACAATACAGTTTTGGCCCTAGAAAAGTATCCGCCTTGTAAAGGACAGTGCTTTTTTGTCTTCGTTTCTTCGTCACAACTCATATATAGTTATTTTCCCCTTCAATAATTTCCCTGAATCTTTCTTTTTTCCTGCGCAGGTTAAAGTACGTGACTCTCACTGAAACAAGAAGTTATAGGTTCACTGAGCATCCTTACTGATAGCAGGTCGAGCCTTTTATCTCACTAAATTGACTAAAGTCACAAATTCTAGACTACTATACTCCTCGCTCATCAGTAACCTATTTCCTCGTCTAGACTCACTGTTTATGGCAAGTTTATAAAAATTTTTGTCAAGACAAATCAATAATAATAATAAAATGTTTGTTTTCAATATGTGTTGTTTTGTATGAACTTGAGCAGGGCTGTTAGTGGACTCATTCTATAAAGCCTATAAATTATATTAGCGTGTTTAGTTCTAATCAACAACAGACAGCTTAGTTTTTCTGTCTTATTCAATAAAACTCTGAACAATAGAAGTAAACTGAAAGATTTTACCTTAAAAATCCAGACGACAGGAGTTCCACCGTTCATAGAATATTAAACAGAGACGGGTAGTCCCTTCAAATTTTCAGGGATGGGGCTACATGAGACGGTGAGTGAACTACAATACACTAGCGTTCACGCGCAAGGAAGAGAGACTACTTCTCGTAGTCAGAAGCCCAGTATATCCCTAAAAATGTTTTTGTTGAAACAAATTCAAATTATAGTCTTGCGTGCTCATTAAGTTTATTTTCTAACTCATTATTTCCTGTTACGTACCGTAGCCATTTTTAATGGCGATTTCACGCCTACGGAAATTGTTTCTACTGAAAATAGATTAATTGATGGTTACTTTATTCTTTGAGTGAAAAAGGAACTAGTAATCTTTATTTCAACACGGTTAAAACTCATCGGGATTGCATAGATGAAAAAGCAAGAAAAAAGTTACAATATTTATCTATCTATATTTATACAAGAGAACACACATTCTTACGACAAAGTGAAATAAAATAACCTGATTTTTTTTGCGTTGAAGGTAAGGGGTTAGTTAAAGTAACCTCTACAGCCGAAAACTCTGAAGGGTTTGAGCTTGCCGCAACTCTGTTGGAAGACTATTCCAGAGCACTGCCTCAACATAGCGGAAGCTCAGTACGAGAAAGGAAACGGAAAGTTGCCCTCGGAGTTTCCTAATGAATAGGTTGACTGACGCTGCTACGGTCTACAAATTTAGAACAGAGATAACCTGAGGCAAGACCGTTGAGTGATTTATAGACCATAACAGCTTTTTGAACCTATCGTTGGCAATCCAGTTCTTTCCAGCCAAGAAGTTCAAAAAGATAGTCAGCACTAGCGTCATGAGTGCAAAAATTTAAAACCCCGTGCCGCCCGCTTTTGTAGTTTTTGCAATTTAGCACAAAGGGTGTTACCGTAATTAACCCAAACCACACTGCAGTAATCAAAATGAAGTTGAATCAGTGAATAATAGATGAACTGCAGGGTACTGGAAGGAGCAAAAGATCGAATGCGTTTCAGGGCCCCAAAACCAGAGGCAATTTTAGTTGATTATTTCTCGATATGTTCATTCCATGACAGAATTTCATCAATTAGTACTCCAAGTGAAATCGTATACGAGACCTGTTTAATAGAAGCACCATATATTAATCGATAGAGATGGGGCAGTCTCGAGAGTCTTAAATCTTTGCCTGGAGCCTATCAACAACTCTATCTTGGATGTATTCAGAGCCAGCTTGTTACCAATGAACCAGTCACTGATATTAATCAAATCGTGATTTAGATAAAGGCCAATACAATGGATATGATTAGAAGCGAAGGTTAGATGAGTGTCATCTGCATACATACGAGGCGGACAATGGGAAAGACAATTTGGGAGGTCGTTAATAGAAATAAGAGACAGTAGAGGTCCCAGGATTGTTTCCTGAGGAATGCCTCGGGACAGCAACAAGTTGTGACAAATGACCATTCACGAAACATTTTTGATCACGATCACTCAGATAGGACCTAAAGCAATCATTGGAAACGTCTTGAATGCCATATTAATATAATTTTCATAGAAGGATGTCATGTTTCACCGTGTCAAATCCTTTTTTGAGGTAGGAAAACTACGGCGTTAACCCCACCCTGGTCGATAAAATATTAACAGTTAAGTGTAGGAAGATTTGATCGTAAACTATTCTTTAATTTCCATCCCTTTCACCAATACAGGACTAATTGAGATTGGACGATAGTTATTTAAGTCATCAAGTTCGCCTTGTTTGAATAAAGGACTAACTCTAGAACACTTCCAATCATCAGGAAAAACACTAGAGACAATACAGCGATTAAAGATGAAACAGTGTGAGGGTGCAATCAGCAGGTCAGCACATTCACGAAGCAGTCTCACCGAGACCTTACCTAGGTCAGTACCTTAAGATTTACTTAATTTAGATAATATTGAATAAACAGTAGCTACATCCGTTTGTTTGAGCACGAATCAATTTCCGTCATCTAGAGTATAAGATTGTGATATTGTCAGCTATTAAAATGAGACTGAACTATCAATATTGGGTATGACGCTGACCCCGGGGGGGTACTTTAGGAATTTCTGGGTGGGGATGTGCCGCTGGGACCCTGGAACCCTTAACCTATACGAGAGCTAGTTCAGCTGAATTTTGTTACCCTATACTAGAGTAAACTCCCCAAATCCCCCATCCTAGAGTAGCTTTTTCCCTAGTCTAGATAAAATCTTCAACCAACTGATCAGTTTCCGGAAAAATGATACCCTATTCTAGACCCAAACTCTCTGATATATATACCCTATCCTAGAGTAACCTGCCTGAAAACCATACCCTTCACAGCGGCACATACCTATACAGCCCATATGTGGCAGTGCCCCCCCCGGGACGCTGACTAACTTTGGCTCGACACTCAGGAACGCGTGACGAACCGCTAAGAACGTCTTCGTGGGAGGCTACTAGTGAAGTGGTAATTAAAGGTTTCGGCTAACTCCTGTGTATCAACAATAGAATGGACATTAATTTTTATCTCATTTACATTCGAATTAGTAGATTTTCTTGCATAAAGCTCATTAACGGATCTCATAAACTAGAGGCTACAAATTGAAAGCACAGTGCTTCGACGAGATACTGGGAAGTGTACGTCATCACTCAGGAATCTACTGCAGACATACCAAGATTTTTATAATTTTAAACAATCAGCCTTTAAAATCTTTTGAGTTCTTCACGATAATTACCAGTTTTGGCGAACCGCTAATCTAGTAAATGAATCGGAACGGTGCCCGCCCAGGGTGTATAAACTTTGGCAACAACGACAATTTTCGGAGTTTTATACTATGGTACTATTATATCCAGCCCCTTTATCATCTCTTGATCGAGTTCGGGACAACGAACAGTGTTAACATCTGAGTAAGTGAGTAAGTTAATGAGTGAGTTATTCTCATATCGGAGTGCGTACAAAAACTCAGTACTTCGCTTCACGTATCCGCGAGTTTATTAAAATATTCATTTTTATTTTACGCGTCCAGGCCCCACAGGGTCAGTCAAAAATTGGGTTGCTCGTAATGTAAGGCCTGCAGCAATAATCCACCAATGAAATTTTGTCTATCATGGTCACATGTCGATTTAATATTTTGCCCTATTACATGGCTCGTTCTTGAGCAGGCAAGATGAAGCGAATACTACGTTCTGAAACAGATGAACTCGCGAGTGAATTTTACTTCTTTTTTCGCCGCAATCAACAAAAGATATGAAATGTGAAATAATTTTGCAAATTGTAATGTTGTATTGTAATAACCTCAGTCCATTCTTGTGTCATTTACATAGATCTACTTTCCTTTTTCTTTCCTTGTCTTAATTTCTTCCTAATAAATTACTTTATGTTTACCCCTGCCTGCCTCGATTAGCCAAGCTATATATGCGAGCAGAGGAAGTTTGAATCTAATTTAATTTGTAACTTCTATGGAGATCAATATACTCCTATGGAACGTCTATGGATTAACCGTCATTTACCAAACTTGTTCGGTAAACCTGACTGAATATTGAATATTGTGGGCCTCGTTCTTGATTATTTTTATTGCGCTTTTATATGGACCTTGACGAACGGCAAACATCCAGCCATCTAGACTGGCGCATACCACTTAGCACCAGCATATACAGCTATTTCGAGAAAGGAAGTCGGAAAAAGTGCACGCAACGATCCAGAAAGGTATTGTGGGTGGCTTTGAGGGCACTGTTCTTCAAAGAAATTTGAAAGAATGGTACGGGAGGCCACGGACATATGTTTGCGAGTGCTAAAGGAAAGCAACAAAAGTAGGTTCGACAGCTTCAGTCTTTACGAACAGTGTATTGATCATATCCCATATTACCTTTCGGGGTTGTCGCGTGCGCATTTCTTCCCACAACCTTTCTCGAAACAGCTGTATATTTGACAGCATTACATTAGAAGATAAAACATCAAAAGTCAGTTTGCACGAAATCTCCATCGTTTTCGTTACCAAAATAGAACATGCAGTTAATTTTAGCTCTTGTATCTTGTATACCTAACTAGCTGAGATATTTTAATTGAATACGTAGCTACCGCTAATTGCTGTCATTTCAGCTGTATGATTTAAGGTGAAAACGTGATGCTTTTTACCATGCGAGCAGAAGTTTAGTTATCCGTTCTGCCAATGTTTGACTAGACATCTTCATTTCTCCTTGTTCGTTAGGACCATCTCCAGATAACTTTAATCCATTCTCGTCCCCAGAACCTCCTGGAGGCCTGAGTACGAGGACCAGGAGGCTCTGGGGACACAGGATTTGAAGTACTAGATTTTAGGACTTCCCGTCATTTCTGATTTTTTACAAAGTTTCTAACAGTGGTCACTTACTCTTGCCCAAGTGTCAATGACTGTAAATTTAGGTGATTCAAAGCTTTTACTTTTACTTTTGATTCGGAAATGACCGGAAGTCCTAAAAACTAAAATCTAGGACTTCAAATCCTGTGTCCCCAGAGCCTTCTGGTCCTCGTGCTCAGGCCCCAAGGAGGCTCTGGGGACAAGAATGATTTTAATTCATAAGACAGACGCTAGTTCCAGACTCCCTCTAACTCCCTCCCCCTTCTTTTCACCGAGACCATAATGCACCTTGTTTATTCCACAGCTCCTTCCCCCCCCCCCCAAAAAAAATTACATAACCCAGTCGTCCTAAGAGAAATCGAAGACAATGTTTATGTAATATTTTAGGGGCGTAAACAAGGTGCATTGTGGTCTCGGTATAAAGGGTGAATTGTGACTCCAGAATTTTGCTACCAAAATGTGCAACAATCGACGGAGGCTACTCTTTTATCTAATACGTTGATCCTTGATGTACTTTGTTGAGGGGAAAGATCTTAAGATTCTAGGACAAGAACGACTACGAGTACGAGATTTCGCTCAATAAGTTTTTTCGCTTATTCTCTAGCCTGCCTAGCAGGCGTCGAAAGGGGTAGGGGGTAGGGGATAGGGAGGAAGGGAAAAAGGGGAGGGGGATTGGCTACTTATTCTCAAATAATAGACACCCCGGATAGCCTCATTGCACATCTTTTTCACCAAAAAAATAGCACTGTTATCTTCCTTGAATGAGGTTAAAGCTATTTCCCAGCCGCAAAATAACAGTTTATAACTTGTGCCCTCTAGGACATTCTCGCTAAAACTCGTAGCAGAACGACGACGGCTATCACGTTTTCCCGCCAAAATGACGCTGGTTCACGCGCGCGCACTACTTAGTATTGAGGAAATCCCGTAGTCGTAGTCGTATACTCGTCTCAGAATCTAAAGCTCTCTACTGAAAGAAACGGTCTCCACCTGTTCAGCGGAAGGCCGGGTTACGTAGAAGGGACTTGGGTTGTCGAGGGGTCTGGAAAAGGTCTGGGAATGACAGGTTACTCTCCTACGCAAATCCTTTGCTTGAAAATTTCCCCTTTGTTTTTCATAAACAAAACATGAGAGACTTAATACTCAAGATCGGATATCCTACTTGATACCAAAGATGTCAATGGGCGAAATATTCCCAAGGAAAAAAAGAAAATTGAAGAACATTGCACGCTAGCTAATTTTGAGAACATTTTCTTCGGTAAGACGGATAGAATTGTTCGAAATAAGTATCAAGTTTATTTTCATTCCAGGTCAGTGATGATATAAGTTAGGAATGGGCAATCTTAATTTTGCTTAAAATTCTTCTGACATTGAAAATATTAGACAATTTGTAGGATAATAAGTCGTTTTTTGCTCTCCGCATCAAAAGCTAAATTTGAATCAGATACTGGTTATATATGAAACAGAGCCAAAATAGTTCATTGAGCACATTGTGACTGAAACGAAAGATATCACCTGAGTGTCTTCGAACTCACAAACTAATTAGCGATTCTGCAACAGCATTTTAAAGCATAGGCGAAAGTTCTCTATTATTGGCGAGCAGGAAAAGGTTAATAAACTGACTGGAAAACACAGTTTTTTAAATAAACTGCAACTTGTAAATCTATTTGTATCCACGCAAAGCATACCTCAATTCTATTTAGTGATCTATCATGATAGTTTCACAGCCGCCAGATACCAACTGGTGTGCACAGTTTCCAAAATATGTTTTGGTAATTAAACCAAACTAGGTCAAAGCAAACTGCTTAATGGTACTGTAAAAGTACCACTAACTATAAACGCTCTGTTATTTCATTGGTCAGAGGTCTTTTTTATCGGCCTTGTCTTTTCTGCGAGACAAACCAAAGAGCCAATCGTCTTAGCTGTACCTAACAGCTGCTTTCTTAGCACGGAAGAGAAAAAATCGAATCGAATATTCACAAGAGACAGATGAATCTACCGGTCGTAAAACTGTGCGGATATTATGGCGCGCGACAATTTCTTTAGCCTCTTAACTATTAAAGCCCAGCCACCTCGGGGCCATTTTATCACGCTTGCTAGAAAGAAAACAGTTAACATGTGCCTTCAAAAATGAACATATTAAAAGAGAGAAAGAGAAAGAGACCAAAGAGAAAACTTTTACGCGGCTGGCTTCAAAATTGCTCGGGTTACGAATTCTGGGGTTTGGAAATATCTTGAGGGGAAATCGAAGTTGTCGAAAATCCTGCAATTGGCGGATTACTTCAAACCCACTAATCGCCCGTTTTGCATAATTTATGTAAATTTTATAGATTTGAGAAAGTAGAGCGGTTTATATTATTTCTTACAAGTTTTTTTGTTCTTTTTTAATTTGTTATGGTATAAACGAAAAAGGCAAGT